TAGGACTCCTCAGAAGGGCGCATCCACGATCCTGCCTCTCTGGATTCGAACTCAGGAAATAATCGGTCTCGCGCTCGAATGCTTGACATCTAGACCACCGATCCGGCCGGCGTCTAACGGTGTTTATGTCTAACTCCAACCAATCCACGAAATTGTGCGATCATCTTCCAATGCACTGAAGTAGATACCTGTCTCTACACAACATGGATTAGCTCCACTGTTCACGGCTTCTCACTAGAACTCCGAGAATTCCCTCACGAAGTTATTCACTACTGAGCACATAGTAATTATCAGTATAGGGTTGCGGATATTACCTTCGTGTCGGGTAGACAAAGGTATCTACCTCAGTACATTGGAAGATGGTCACGCAATTTCGTGGATTGGTTGGACTTAGACATTAACACCGTTAGATCGGTAGTCTAAATGTTAAGCGTTTGCGCGTGAGACAGAAGGCCCTGAGCTCGAATCCTTTGAGCAGGATCATGGATGCACACTGCTGAAGAATCCCACAATAAGACCAAACGACCATCTAGTGCTTCCTGGGTTCAAATGGTGGTCAAACATCAATCGGTTCATGATCTCAATTAAAATCTATCTCAGAGCTGATGTTCACTGCAGAAAGATACAAGCAAAACAACACCAAATGAATGATAAATAGTTTGTTCTATGTAATTAGTTGTTGTTGTTGTTCTCGTTTACAATCATGTTTCCTTTCTTCACACATTTACTTTGATCAATATCCTAACTAATTTGGCTTTTTTTATCTTATATTTCTATTTTAACTCCCTTGTTAACTAACATAATATGTTCATTATGACATATCAACAGCAATAAGAACAATTGTAGCGTCAGTTATTATGTTAAGCCCATATACCTTATTCTACCTTACGGACAGACCATTCTATTCATTCTACTTGAGTCACATTCTGACCTTGTTATTTATTCGCTTATCCAATCCTGACTGTTTTTATATGAGCGCATAGGTGTGTGTACATTTCTTATCCCATTACTCATCACGTATCTGTAACTTACTTTTATGTAACTATAAATGTTGATTAACGCTTGATCAAAAGGGGAGTTGGCTTCCCAGCCATCTCCACTCTGCGTTGTTTCTCTTCTCTTTATTCTATTCGCTTCATATACAAAATACATGTATTCAAAAGTCCATTCTCGTTATTTGACTTATCTAAATCCGTTATTGACTAACGCGATTTAAGTCGATGATTATATACGAGGATAGGCGACATATATTATTTCAAGAACAATCGTCATTACGATCGTCCGATCTCGGGCCACTAAAGTGGAGGGTCCTTTCGATAACATCGCTTGATCTAAATAACGACAAAATAAAGAGCCCCACAACACAATAACTGGACTGATTCGCATGTATATAGCAAACAGTTCTCTTTGAACCTAGTACAAAACAATAGCATCATGCACTGTCCCATTGCCTTTGGTAGATCAGGCAACTGGAAAGTTATGCGAACATTATCATGGCATACAACAGACTAGGCACCCCAATGACATATCGATTGATCACTTAGTGATTGAAGCTCTAGAATTCTGACCATTCTACATTCATGATGGATTAATATATATATATATATATATATGTATATATATATATATATATATATATATATATATATATATATATATATATATATACATTACAGGCCATTTTACAGATAACCTGAATGTTCATACAACCAATGATGATAAATAGATGTATCATCTTGTCTCAAATAATGTTTCTCTCTTTTTCTTTCTTTTCTTTTTCAGGTACCATAATCATTCTATTCATTTTTCCATAACCGATATCCAGTTGAATATACTTAAAACATCACAGAAACTATTCTTATCAAGTTAATGTTTGAATAAAGAATGTTTTTTTCTGAAAAAAAAGAGCATACTGAGTTCCCTTAGTAACTAAACGGTTATTTGAATGGTACATTATTTTTAGTTATATTCCTTGTTTATTGATATTCCCCCCCTCCCGCCGTCCAGTTTTCTTGATTTCTAACAACTTACAAGATATTTAACAAATAATGGCAAGACTATAGTTTATAGACGAAGGAATCAGGTGTATAACATAACCGATCTCGAATTTTGGTGTGAAATTCATTTATCCATTTGATTAAATAGAGTTTTGTCATTGTCGCTAATGTCAATTCGTGATGAAAATTCTAAATCTAATTCCTAACCTTAATCATCAACTGTATATACTACTTATATATTTCGATAATATTACTTAAGTAATATTGATAATTATACCTGGGTTTAAATCTTGCGGGGTGTGGGATAGTGAATCCGAACTGCTGAGGAGTACCACACTAAGAAGAAACGGCCTTCCACTGCTCCCAGGTTTTCCATAGTGATCTAGCTTCAATGGACTCATGATTTCAATCAGTGAAATTTCTAAAATCTCCACAAAACCCCTTCTGATATAATATATGTATAAAAAGTTGAACAATTTGTTTGTCATACAATGAGACATTTTCATACATTTAGAGAAGAATTAATAAACCTTGGTAAATTGTTAATCATTTTTATTTTAATAGTTGACTACCATGGAAAACCTGGAAGCATTGAAAGACCGTTTCGTCTGAGTATGGAACTACTCAGCAATGCCCATGGGATTGGAACCCAGGAGCTTTGATGACGCGATTTCTCGGATTTGTTGAAGTCAGACATTAACATCGTTGATTGCCGGCTTACCAGTATGAACGTTAATCGTTCACACTCGAGACCATAGGTCCTGAATTCGAATCTCGCGGAACGGGACCATGGATACGCACTGTAAAAGTGTACCATATTAGAACGAAACGGCTATTCAATGCGTTCAGGTTTTCTATAGTTGTCTAGCTTTAATCGAATCATGAATGGAACTATTAAACTACCACAATCACCACAGTACCACTGTAAAGATTTCCTATAATATAAAAATAATGTTGTTGGATATTGTTATGGCTTTAGGTTGCGGTCGATTTTTACCCTGTGCTAATTGTTGTGTCTTTGACTGGAAAATTAGAGAGCAGCGTACTTATCGATCGATTACAGTGACACGTAAACACGAACGGACGGCCTAGAGTCCCGATTGGTCCCACTTCCCTGTCTAGCCCAGTTAGTTGAGTCCAGAACACAAGTCACAACCTCTGAGATATGAATCGTTATATTTCAAACATACTTTGTTTACATATCAATCAAGCATACCACATCGTACCATAAAACTAGAAAACAACATTTTGTACAATATACAACAAGTGAACAGATATCAACCAATAGGAAATGTCCATTTAAAGTCCAAGGACACCATTGGACTTAACATGATAATTATTGGTCTATTCCTCCGCATCCACAACAGATATTAAACTAAACACCTTGTCAGCAGTATGTCATTATACTCACAGTACTAATCAAGTTAAGATGATGATGAAAGTCACGTTGAACTTGTGTACTAATGAAAACTAGATAAGGTAAATCCAATCCAACATGTAGAATCAGTTCATAAAGTTAATAATTGTTGAATTGAACCGTGTTGGAAAGTGTAGAATGATTACTAGGATTCTTAGCAATGATATGATTGAGAAGTGTTCAGAATGGCGATAATGGATTCAGTGTTTTTTTTTCCTTCTTGACTTTTTCGATAACCTTAGACTTCTTACTTTACAGATTCATTCTTTCGTCTGATATCCTATTATCTATAAGTGTCTTGTGTGATCACTGATACTACTATCACTTCTACTACTTAAGTATTCTTCCTGAATGCATCATGTTTCTGTGCTGTAAAGGATATCAACTTGAATCGACGCATTTTTTTGTATATCAGATTCAATGTTCTTTATGGCTAACTAAGGAATCAATAATGAAGAATAAATTGATTTATCTAGACCTTCATGGAAAACCTGGAAGCACTGGATGGCTGTCTCATCCTAGTATGGGACTCCTGAACAGTGCACATCCACGATCCCACTCACGTCATTCGAACCCACAACCTATCAATCTCTAGTCCACTGAGCCAGCATCCAACAGTTGCTTTAAGTCAGATGCTTTTATTAATCATCTTTTACAGCTTAAATGTAATGGAAAAATATATTACCGAGTACATAAGTCTCCTGAAAGATATTCAAATATTTAAACAGTTCTAAAGTACATTTCATTCACATGATCAGGGAATCATAACTCTGTATTTCGACAACTTTGTCCTAAAACAGTATGCATATGTGAAATTAATACATTTCTGAATAATCTTCATAAAGACACTAAAAAGTATTGCATTATCTGTTGCATATTGACACTGTTGTAATCACTAATATGAATAGGTTTATAATGAAGATTTCATCGTTGATCTTAACAACATCATCAGTTGATACTTCCACGAGAAACGGACTAAATTACAAATCTTCATAAGTATTTTAAAATTCTAAGAATCAAGATTTTTGGAGATTGTAGTATTTTAACGGTTGAATTCACAAGTTAGTCTAAGTTAGACCACCATTGAAGACCTGGAAACACTGGACAGCCGTCTCGTCTTAGTATGGAGATCCTCAAAAGTGTTCATTCACGATCCTGCACACGGGGCTCAAACCTGTGCCAGGTGGAGATAGTTTAGTAAGATCATGGATCGATTGAATTTATACATTAACGTCATTGAATGCTGGCTCAGTGGTCAGTTGATTAAGCATTTACGACCGAGATCGATTATCATGGGTTCGAGTTCTGCTTACAAGAGGAGTTCCATAAAATAACGTAAATGGCCCTTAAGGTTTTCAGTAATATTCTAGATCATATGGAATTGTGAATTGAACTATTATAATAGTACAGTCTCTATAACTCTCCACTCTGTTACAAATACATTTTCATTACAGTCATCTATCCATAAAATTATTGTACTTCCGATAACCATGTGTCAGTCACTAAACTGATGTTGATAAAATTTATCACATATTTTTAAACTACTGATTAGTAATATAAATATTAATACGAAAAAAAACTCATTTCATATATTAAAAATTTAATTACGAAATAATCAAGCATAATACTCATATAAATTGTTCAGTACTATTCTTCAGTAGTACATTTTTCATTTACAAAAAATATGGTGACAATCTCAACTAAATCGTTTAATTTCATTGAAAATTCTTCTACTAACTTCTTTGAAAAAGGATACTAGAAAGAAAATTATTAATCCATGAAAATAATGATTAAAACTAAGGGTAAATTAATTCTCAACTTAATAGGGGTTTACAAATGAACAAATTTAACTGTCTATGATATCAACTGTCAGTCAGTCAGCTACAACATAGGACCAGGCACATATATGTATCGGTTCAAGTGTATACACTGACGCCATTGTGATCGATTTACAGTCATGTCACCCAGAGTCTCCAAACATTGATTACGATAGTTATGTGGACCCCAACCAAGTAGTCTGTATCTACCAACATGACCATGTTTACTTACTTACTTATGTACACCTTTTACTCCTAATGGAGCCTGGATAAAGGAAGAGAGTTGGCAATGGGGTTTGCGGCCGCATCCTGAAAAAAACGAACTCGCTAAAAAAAACGCTTACCAGAAAAAAATATTGAAACATGATCATGTACACTAATAATAATCATTCGTTCATTAGTGACTAATTTGGAGAAGTAATTCTGGAGTTCTAATGAGAAATTGTCACTAGTTAAGCTCAACAGTATTAGGTGTGAGGTAAGGTCTCATCAATTAAATTGGTAAATGAATAGGTAATATCCCTCATTGATTGACATTACAGATATCATGAGTGAAATGTGAAATTGAAGAATATTGAAAATTATAACTGTCGAGAAACCTAAAAGTCCTATGTTTACCTAGTGGATAACGCGATGGCATTTGATACTAACGGTACTGAGTTTGAGTTCCAGAGTGAATATCAACTTTGAGATAAGTCGATAAGTCTAAACTACAACGAAACACATGTCATGCATTTCATTGTTAGCCATTATCTATCCTTGTATCCTATTATAGGGGTTGTGGAGATTATTACATTTTTGACTGAGATCATAAATCGATTGATGTTAGACCACCTTTGGAAACCTGGAAGCACTGGACAGCTGTTTCGTCCTATTATGGGACTCCTCTGTGGCAGTGCGCATCCACGATCCCGCCCGCGGGATTCCATGTTTACCTTCTAAAACATTTATCTAATACTTCACAATTCTTAATAAAAATTTATAAATTGAATTCAGTAGTTGAATGATTTCCGGATAAATAAACATTAGAATTATATGACACTTACATCTTTCAATAATCGTTCACATTGTATAGGCCATTTTATTAAATTGTCTATATATGAATTCATAGTGAATTTTGAAAGAATTCCAGATTGATTGAATGGTTCCGTTTTATTATTGAATGAATTGATCAGTTCACTTTTTGTTAAGTCGATATGATCAAGATCATCAGGATCAGGATCATCAATAGTGAGATCGGGTTTATCATTATGATGATTATCTTTATCTAGAAATGTTAATTTCTCTAAATCATTTAATGATAAACATAGAATTTCAGCTGCTTTCATTTTAGCTACATGTAAACTATCTTGACTTATTGTAGACTTTGGATTATCTAAAACAAAACGACAACGACAAAAAATCCATTGTAAACTAAATACAAGAGAAAGAAAAGCTAAATGTAGATTATTTTTAGAGAAGGAGGATTGAATATCCGACGCTTTAAATGGGTTGGCGGATACGGGGAGTTCACCTGAGGGAAAACAATAATTACTGATAGTTTTAACTAAGTCGTCCCCAAATGCCCTTATGCGATCGAGAGTGGGGAGAGTCGGTTCTCTCGCTCGCTCGCTCGCTCTACAAATGCTCTCACATGGACATGTGTATACAACCACTGAACAGGGCAGTCCTACTCACTGCCTTCTGAAAGTGGGGTATTGCTTACGAAATCGAGAGGACGAAAAGCGAATATCTGGCGCTATAACTGGGTTGGTGGACATGGAGGATCCATCTAGGGGAGTTGAAAAGGAAGTGACGTATGAACTAATCGTTTATCACCGGCTACCATAGAACCGCATCTCCTCACGTTGTTCCACTGCCTTATGGATCAGACCTTTCGGTTGAAGGCTCCGGGCGTGACCCCCTAAGAAAACTGCCTGTTTCGATTTGGGCACCCGGATAGTTTTTCAGTCCTCATACAAATCGAATGATCTATGTGGCGTATATGTATTCTGTACCCCTATTTTCCAATGTTTATGTGTTTAAATAAATAAGTAAAATAAATATATTATTTTCAGAATAAGAGTTTGTGGAGATGTTCAGATGTTATTAAGATTATTAACCAAAATTGTAAAATTGATTGAATTTAGACATGTACACTATTGAGTGACCACTTAGTGATATGATTTGAGCGTACACTGAGAAACTTGGTCCTTAGAGGGTTCATGTTTATTCACCGTTGTTTTGTAGTTCCTTATTAGGATAGAATAGTTTTATGATGCTCTCCCTCCCCTCCACTTTTCAGTGGTTGTTTAAGTTTTTGGTTGAGATCATGAATTAATTGATGTTAGACCACCGTTGGAAACCTGGAAGCACTGGACGGCCGTTTCTTCCTAGTATGGGACTCCTCTGTGGCAGTGCGCATCCACGAACCCGCTCCCTGCGGGATTCGAACCCAGGACCTACTGGCTTCGCGCCTGAGCACTTAACCATTAGACCACTGAGCCGGCATCCAATGGTGTTAGTGTCTAACTCCAACCAATCCACGAAATTGCGCGACCACCTTACATTGTACTGAGGTAGATACCTGTCTCTACCCGACACGGATTAGCTCCACTGGTCACGACTTCTCACTAGAACTCCAAGACTTCCCTCACGAAGCTATTCACTAGTGAGCACATGTTAATTATCAGTATGGGGGTTGTGGTTAAGTGCTCAGGCGCGAAGCCAGTAGGTCCTGGGTTCGAATCCCGCAGGGAGCGGGTTCGTGGATGCGCACTGCCACAGAGGAGTCCCATACTAGGAAGAAACGGCCGTCCAGTGCTTCCAGGTTTCCAACGGTGGTCTAACATCAATTAATTCATGATCTCAACCAAAAACTTAACAAACTCCACAACCCCCATACTGATGTCTAATTTTTGTTCATTCGTAACCTTAGTAAACGTAAAACAGATCTCTTAGAATTTAATCCACTATCAAAATATACAAATCAAATGTTGGTGAGTTTCATTTCGTTCTATTCGTAAGAATACTTTTATGTTATTAATTGTTTACTCAATCACATGTGTTTATTACTCAATTGTGTGCTATAAACAACCTAGTTATGATTAAATTGCAGATTTTTTTTTGAGATCATGAACAGATCCAAGTAAGACAACCATTAAAAACCTAGAAGTACTGGACACTGACTTCGTCCTAGTGAAGAACTCGTCAGTAATGTGTATCCATGGTAATGTAACATGGAGTGTGATCCAGAGAATTTTATCTCGTGAGAACGCATAACCTCTAGACCACTTAGTCAATGGTGTTAATGTCTAACTTTAATCGATTCACGATATTATATAATGATCTATTGTCTTCGATGTGTAACTTTCTCATACCCAACACGACTGAACTCCACTGGTCAAGTGCTGTGATTAGGACTCCGGAAATGTACTCTCAAAGCTAGTCATTATCAAGCACATAATTGATTTATTATTCATACCACGTTGTAATCTTGTGATTGGTACAAATTATCATGTTCTTAAGTCATTTATTTCGAAAATTTAATGACTATTATTCTCTGATTGTATATATTCAGGACAGTAAGAACTTGCATTGACTGATACGTTTCACCACACTGAATGACCAAAATGCTCATGCGAAAGTCATTAGTGTTAGTTGACATTAGTTGTGGATTCAGCAACTTATTGATTTTATTAAATGAGCATACAGAAGTTGAAATTCGTTACAGTCGGCGGTTAGTGAATCTGAAGGCTTTCGGTAGAATATGTTTTAAATTTTTGCTTTACTTTAGGATAGCTGAGCGGCAGCATGGGAAAAAATATATTTTCTGACTTCTCGATTTAATAAATGAAAGATCTTTAGATCTTGTTACTAAAGTTAATCAGTGAGTTGTCCTCGTATAGAGTAGTCTCTACGATACATTAGGACGAAGGGGGTTTGGTGGAGACTATAATAATCTAAAAGTTGAATTCATGAATCAATTAAAGCTAGACCATTTTTTGAGAACCTGACAGCACTGGAAGGCTGTATCGTCGTAGTATGAGATTCCTTAGTAGTGCCCATCCATGACCCTGTTTGCAGGATTCGAACACAGGATCTATCAGTCTCGAGAGCGAACGCTCAACCTGTAGACCACTAACTTGACAGGTAATAATAATAACAATAATAAAAATTCACTTAGATTAGTCAAATGAATATTCCTGCTAGGGTTGAAGCTATCAAGAGTTCACTTAGTCTACGAACGAAAACAAAGACTCAGTGATCAAAGACCAGTAACCTAGCTATTTCATGCGTCTCAGCCCCGCTAACTAAAGGGAGAAGTCCAAGCTTGGAATAGGGAAGTATATTCTGCAAAACAGCCAGAAACGAGCGATCACAACAAAGGCAATTCAGAACCTATATATACAGTACAAAACCGTTATTGGGGAAAGTTACCAAATAGCATAGTAAAAGACGCAACGGACCAATAGCATTCAAGATATTTCCCAAGTGGGAAATACAACATGAAGGTGACAAGAGAGCCTTTGGCGCGAAAACAAAGAAATTCAAATTTTCTAAATAAAATTACAAAATTGCGTTCTTTCCCGAGTTCTGGGGATCTAACGTCCCCAACAATTCCACAATGAAAACGTAATTATTCTTTATCCCCAACTATTCACCGTAATTGATTTAAATAAAAAGGAAATGTAACAGTAAAGAATGTTCATCCTTTAAAAAGAAGCAACCGATTTTTTTCCGTAATACCCCTCACATCACTATTGGAACTACATCATATTGCTTTCCATTTGTTTAAAGTCTGGAATGTTCGGATTTGTGTTTAAATTCAATTTTGCCGGGAATAAGAATGCGGAACATTTAAACTTGAAGGAATGAAAGATTGAATAGAACAAATTTTAGTGAGGGAAGGAAAGAAGGAGTGTGTGTGTGTGTGTGTGTGTGTGTGTGAAAGAGAGAGATAGTGGAAGAGAAAGAAAAATAATGTGATTTATTTAAAATGAAATGCTTTGAATTAATTATGGTAATAGTTGTAACTCATGGAAGATAATGGTAGATGGAGGTGTGATTTCGTGGACTGATTAATGTTAAACACCAGTTCAGTGGTTTGGAGGTCAAGCGTTCACGCGCGAGACAGATAGATCCTAGGCTCGAACCTTGCGGGGCGGGATCTTGGATGCGTACTGTTACTGAGATGTCCCATACTAGGATGAAATGACTATTCAGTCTTTCCATGTTTTCCATAGTGACCTAACTTTAACTGACTCATGAATTCAACTATTGAAATTACTACAATCTCCCCCCAACCCCCCCCCTCTTTCTGATAATAGATACTTATCAATAATACACAATACAATTAAACTGATAAAATGATCATTTAATTTTGATTGAAATCATGAGTCAATTGAAGTTAGACCACCATGGAAAACCTGGAAGCACTGGATGGTCGTTTCGTCCTAATATTGGACTCCTCAACAGTGCATCAACAGCGCATTCACGATCCTGCACCCTACGAGATTCGAACCCAGAACCTATCATTTAATTAATAATACATTAACATGAATCTACACTTACCATTATCTGATGTTGTATTGACCATAGTTGTCATCATTAATGGATGATTACGTAATTGATAAATCGTTTTAATGGTTTTAATTAATTCATTTGCTAATATTAAAACGAATTTTTCTAAATGGTCAATACGATTATTCTTTTGGATAAGCAAAAAAAGAGATAATACAAACTATAAATTAGTAGCATGTATAATTTATTAGTAGTATATGTATATTGTCGATGGATTGATTTGATCTTGTTATATCCCGATGAGAATAATGAACGACCACAGATGCCTTAGAAATATTGCTGGCATCTGCTGAGATCACCGCGTAAGTAATAGTGAGGTTAGACGTAGGGTATGAGTGAATGATGATGGTAAATCAGTTGATGAGGTTGTGAATCTTCATCGACTGAGATGGTCGGGCCACGTGGTACGTATACCTGAACATCGATTACCACGATACACAATGCGTTGCGTTCGGGGATGGTTGTAAGAAAGTTAGGGGTGGCCAAACCAAAATGTGGCATCAATGCTTGAAGACACTAACTTCTAGTCTGAGCCAGGTTAGTAAATCTGGTGTTGAACTTGTTTTGCTAATGTGGTATAGCAACTTGGACCGATGCGTATCTGCGCCTGTTCCTACGTTGTAGCTCACTGACTGACTGAACTGTTGGGATCGATCTCTGAACTTATTCTATGTTCCTTTTATTATAAGCTACACTTCGAGTTATAGACTATCATTATACGATTTACCATTTTTGAGTTATGGCCAGTCTATGAATTACTATCTCCCACATTCACAGCCACATTTGGTTAGATCTTGTATCAATATTATTTCCTAATTTATGATGTGATGCGGTCAGATTGGTTTGTATATAAACCCACTCTGTTTGAAATACATGATTCATATCGCGGAGGCTGAGATTGATGTTCTGGACCGAATAGGCACGGCTAGATAGAAAGAAGGATTGATAAAGACTGTAGATTGCTTGTACGGATTTAGGCGTTACTGGTCCGGTTGATAAGTCACTATTCTCTAATTGGCGATATCACAACATCATATATTCATAGGGGCAAAAGATTACATAACATAACAGATCTAGTTATTTACTACAAGTTATTAAGAAAAGATGGAGTAAGGCTAGCAGTGCCATTCGTCTTATTAGAGGTCCATCACCTAAGTGTAACTGTATTCAAATGAATGAATGAATGAAATTAAGTTTTGACAAAACTTAAACTGTGATCAATCATTATATCGGCATCATCTTTATTGGATAAGTTGTTAGCTCTTTTTGAATAAGTTGTTAAATGAATATCGCATAAGCAGCTAATGTGAAAGATGCTGGGTTTGAGTCTTAGCGATACAAAGTCATCAATCTATACACATTGACATAGGTGAATATCATTAAGAAACAGGTTATCACAGATAGTATGTATGAAAGGAATATTAGAATTGTTGATTGAGAGGTAAATGAACAGTGTATTCATTTAGGGCATCGTAACTGATAATGAACTTGTATTGTATTTATTATACGTACCTCAATCAAGTCGTCTACATTAGTTCATAGAGTCCTTATCCATAGTTCTGAATCTTATTGGTAGATGTAGACTGCCTGATTGACGTATGTGTAATAAATATGATTAATGGTTGAAGAATTTGTGTAATAAAATTCATTATCAGTTGCGATGCCATAGATGAATACACTCTTCATTCTCCTCTCGACAAACAATTCTAATATGACGAGACTATAATTTATGGACTAACCAATCAGAGGCGTTTGAAGGATTTCAAGGTCACGGCGCCATATACGAAAGGTTCATAGCGGATTTTGAAGAAAACGTGATAACTGAGTGGCTACAACAAATAGAAACACTAAGAAATTTCTTTTATTCGTGAATAAGGTAATCATATGCCTTGTGGACCTTGTGCAGACTATCATGATGATGTTGTCTTTCGATGTAATATGTGTTGAAGGAAGAAGTCTGTTAGAATAGGATTTTTCGCTCGATCCAGATTAGGACCAAGGCGAAGTGGATAATAAAATCACCAGTAACACTGGCTTCAGCCGGGTAATACAATATATGCGGATGATTGGAGAGCGTACAGATGCCTACATAGAATGGTTATATGCATCGTGTCGTTTTTCACAGGCGGCATTCTGTGGATCCAGCGACCGGAGTGCAAACAAACAATATTAAAGCTATGTGTTTGTTGATTGCTGATTGATCTGAGTGCCAGACTTCTAAAAATCCTCTGATGTTTCTGGAGTTGCCTGCATCCAAAATTTTCACATTTTTCCAGTCGAATGTGTGTCCACAGTTGTCCACGTGCATTAACATAAGTGAGGAAGTATCATGGCGTTCGACTGCTGATTGATGTTCATGTAGACGAAGGCGAAGATGGCGTCCACTTTGTCCGATGCAGTGCTTTTCTCAGTTGGCACAATTTATTTTGTAGATGATGTTTGATTTGTTTCCCTTTGTTATTTCATCTTTTGGTTTGTATAAGATTGATTGCAGGGATTTTGTTGGATTGTGTGCCACACCTATCCCGAAGGTTTTCTGCGGTTTCGTTGCGGTTTCTGATCTGCCTTTTATGTATGGTAGGGCGATCCTTTTGTTAATTTCTGTGCTTGACTTAGGTTCTGATGCTGCGTGCGGTTGGTATTTTTTGATGAAGTTGATTGGGTAGCCATTTTTTTTAAATACGTCTTTCAGGCATTTCTCTCCAGAGATGTTGTAACGTGTGGGCTGCAAGGTTTTGATACGCAGCGTATTTATCGATCGCTTCTGTGACAGTGGACACGTAAACACGTACGAACAACCTAGTGCCCTGATTGGCCCTGCTTCGCTGTCTGTCCTAGCCAGTTGAGTCAAGAACGCAAGTCACAGCCTCTGAGTTATGAATCATTGTATTTCAGACATACTCTATTTATATACTATCCAAACAAACCACATCGTATAATAAAAATAGAAAACAACATTTACACAATATGTAACGAATGAATTAAATAATAGCCAATAGGGGATGTACATTTAAAGTCCAAGGCCACCATAGACTTAACACCATGATTATTGGTATATTTTTCCGACTATCCTAACAAGAGAACAAAACAGAGAGTTTTTGCTATCTTATCATAGCTCCAGAGGTCGACTATTATGAAGCCATATAGATGAGTTTCTAACCTTGACAAGTTTTGAACCATGTAAAAGAACTGTATTCATTTCAATAGTTGAAATCATGAGTCGATTGAAACTAGACCACCATGAAATACCTTCAAGCACTGTACGACCGTTTTGATCCTATTATGGGACTCTTCACCAGTGAATATCCACAACCTCACCATGCGGAATTCGAACCCAGGACCTATCAGTCTCACACGTGAACGCTTAACCACTAAACCACTGAGCTCACTTCGCATCCAACAATGTTAATATCTACTTTCAACTAATCCACAAAATTGAACAATATATCCATCATTGTCATCAGTCAGTTCCTATCTTACTTCAACTCTTCGATCTTCATGTCAAATCTATTGTTACTTTATATGAACCGTTTTCTGATTGGCTAATGTTTTTCAAGGTCATTCAAAGGTCGTTCAAAGGTCATCATACTCGCGCCAATGAATGATATTTATATTACTTACAGCACAAATACGATTGAATGGTTTCATTGGTTTTACTAATTGATTCTCTGATTTTTCTATGGGAAAATGTTTTTCATTGTTCAATTTTTGTAAATTTAAAAAATCCGCTTTTAATTGATTTAATTGATTCATTAAATGATGATGAGATTGTTTTAATTGATTGAAATTTTCTAGAAGATTCTTTTTTTCATGAATTAAAGTAGTTAATTGAATATGTTGACATTTTTTAGTTTGTTTTAATTGAATTTCAGAGAATTTTAAATGTTCATTCATTTTTTCTTTAGTTAACTAAAACAAAAAAATAAAAGAAAAGAAAGTCAGATTCTAAGTAATGGGTGACTTGTGGGAGAGAGAGGGAGAAAAAGGTCAAAGTGACCTTGAGAGAGCACACTTACTTTACTTACTTACTTACTTACTTATACCTGTTATCTTCTAGGGGAGCATATGCCGTCGACCAACATTCTCTAACTCACTCTGTCATGGGGCCAACCTTTCTAGTGCTATCCCAATTGTTGTTCATTCTTCTTGTGACTGTCTCCATTTCTCGGTGTAATGTGTTCTTTGGATTTCCTCTTCACCTTCAGTCTTGAGGATTCCAAGTGATGAGAGCTTGCCTTGTGACGCAGTTGTTTGCTTTCCTCAATGTGTGTTCTATCCACTTCCAGCACTTTTTCCAGATTTCTTCCTCTACTGGAATCTGGTTTTTTGCCTTCCCCAGTAGTTTGTTGCTGATAATGTCTGGCCGACGGATCCGAAGTAGGCAACTGTTAATAAACACTTCTATCTTCCTGATGATCGTTGTAGCAGTTCTCTATTTTTCATCTCCGTACAATAGAACTGTCTTGACGTTCGTAATGAATATTGTGACTTTGATATTGGTTGACAGACAGTTGTTTTAAGTTCCATATGTACTTCAATTGTAGGAATGCTTTGTCAATCCGCACCGTTACGTCTGCATCGGGTCCTCCTTGTCGATTAATGGTGCCTCACAGATACGTGAAACTTCCCACCTCTTCCAGAGTTTCTCCATGAAGTGTGATCAGTTTGGCGTTCTACGTGTTTATTTAAGGATCTTGCTTTTCCCTTTGTGTGTGTTGAGGCCTACTAGTGCAAAGTCTGCTGCTACACGAGTTGTCTTCATCTGCATTTCTTCGTGTCTATGAGAGAGAAGGGTCAGGTCATCTTAAAATTCCAGATCGTCTAATTGATTCTGAGCTATCCATTGTATTTCGTGCTCTCACTCAGATTTCGAAATCTTCATAATCCAGTTGACCACCAGAAGAAAAAGAAAGGAGGAGAGTAAGCAGTGTTGTCTGACTCTTGTCCTCACTTCGAATACATCTATCAGCTGTCTTATATTGTTCAACATGAAATACAATTCATTACAAAACATTTCTATATTATAATCATTATATAATTTATAAACTAGCTTACTAAATCATTTCGAAGATCTATTTGTTCAGCAAGTACACATTGAAGACGTATTTTCAATTCTTCAATATATTGACGTCGACGTTTTGTTTCATTTTCAAGTGTATTAATTTTATTCTTCATGTTGTTATGTTCAGTTCGTTTACGATCTATTGCTTCTTGAAGTTGATGAATAATATTATCAGAGAATTCTTTTATGAATTTCTACACACACAAAAGAAAACATATGTATGATCATCTTTGATAGCATCTTCAAAAATGTTAGCCAATCAGAGATCAATTAATATAGAAGATTAATCGGCGAAACTCTAAATTATGGACGACCTTTGAATGAGTCTTAAGTGACTTTGGGAAATATTAGTCAGTCAGAAGGTAGTCGGTATAGAGTAAAGATATACGGTACAAAATCAAAGAATTAAGGTGACTACACTTCTTTTATATGGTTAAAAAACTTGTCAAGATTAGAAAGAGGTTCAGAGGTCCTAAAATCATAATGCATGCAGCAGAGCAAATCATCCATATACCTACAGAATAGTCGGCATCTGGATCCATGATAAACTCTCAAATACTCTTTCAGCCTCCACCTCATAGCTTCAATATTGTTTATGTGCACTCCGGTTGTTGAGTGCACAAAATGCTACTTGTGGATAACGACACGTTGCACATAACCAAGTCTATGTAGGAGGCTGTACGCTCTCCAAACATCCGTACACATTGTAGTACCTGACTGTAGCCAATGTTACTGGTGCTTTTATTATTCAGTTCGCAATAATTGTCGTAAATTGCCGCAGTTAGGAATTATATATGGGGTTTCCATTCTATAGAAAGGATATTGTCATAATACCAATGGGGTTTCCATCACGAATTGATATCAGCTATAATGCCAGAAATCTATTTAGCAAAGTGCATGAAAGGCTTTCGTGTTAAAATTCGAGATCTATTATCTTATACCTGATTGATTCGTCCACAAATTATAGTTTCACCGTTTTATTTGTTATAGCCGCTCAATTATCACATTTTGTACAAAATTCCCTGTGAACCGAACGTATGTTAGTATTAAGTACTGAAGTTGGCGCCGTGACCTTAAACTTTCTCAGACACTTCTGATTGGCTCGTCCATAAATTAGATTTTCGTGAGAAATAATCATTCAGTGCTCTCGAATCTGATATGATCTCTTCAACAGATATTAGCATATGATGAAAATCATCATCATATTACCACAAGTTATTAAAATGTAAACAATATAGTCATTCCCTGTGAACCGATCGTATGTTAGCATTAAGTACTGAATTATAAGCAAAGATGGATAGTGGCTAGCAGTGGAATCCAGGACGCGCGTTTCGTCCTGTTTGGGATTCGTCAGCTGGATGTACCTGCATCTCAGAGTTGATGTTCACTCTGGGACTATCAAGACTCAGTAGCTAAGTGGATAACGCGATGGCGTTTCGAGCGAACGGTACTGAGTTCGAGTCCCAGAGTGAACATCAACTCTGAGATGCAGGTACATCCAGCTGACGAGTCCCAAACAGGACGAAACGCGCGTCCTGGATTCCACTGCTAGCCACTATCCATCTTTGCTTATAATGCTTGTAAATTAAGGCAATATCGAGGCATACGCACAGTATGCACATATGCCAATAAGAGACTGATCAATTTCAGTCCAAAAAAACATCAATGGGAAGATTCAAATAAAACAATAACAAGTGAATTAAGTACTGAAGTTGGCGTCGTAACCTTGAAATCTCTCAGACGCTTCTGACTGGCTCGTCCATAAATTAGATTCTCGCCGATTAATCTATTATAGAGCCTACAAAGTTCTGAATACTGGAGATAGGTTTAACTATTTAGGTATCATAATAAATATGGTATAGAATTTCAACTGTGTAATTTGACAATAATCGACCTTTGGAACTGTAATAAAGTCATATAAATATTTTCAGTCTTGACTACTCTTATTCTATGTTGTTCGTGCAGACAACCATTGTGTAATCTACAAAGCATCTTTCATGAACGATATCACTATGAAGTTAGATAAATCTGAATAGTTCAGTATATGATTGTACCTAGTTGGACATACTCCTTTATAACTGGTACTAACGTTATTGACCGGTAGTTTCTGATGTTTTGAAAATGTTCTTTCTGTAATGTTCTATCACGTATATCGAAGACCTGATAAGTAGATTTCAAGAACTGTTTTTTACCCAATCCTTCCTGTATACTTCTTGATCTATTAGAAATCTAGTATTCCGGACGATCGTTTCATCGATTTGCACTTTTCCTCTGATAGCTCTGAACAATAGATTCAAATGCATCATCTTTGTATCGGATTTATCTTTGTAATACTCATACCATTGAATAATTGTAGCTTCAATAACATAAGCAAACGTTTGAGTCGGTGTCTGTGATTTTCTCATGATCTAATTTAGAAGAATCAGCATAATTTGCCGTAATGGTGATCAAAAACGGGTAAAAAATGCTTCCGTTCTCGCAGATTCTTTTTTCCAACACACATTGCATAGAAATACTGCATAATCGTGGTAGCCCATATATTGCCAAACCACTTGAAATTCTCAATCATAAATAATGGAACTTTTTGAAAATTCCTGTTGTTATAAACGTCTTTGAAATCAGCGATGAATCGATCGCAGATACGGATTTACATCTATACATTGAACGTGACCTTGAATTCGCTCAGTAGATTATGATTTGCTCGTCCATGAAATATAATAGTGCTATTCTTTCACTCAACATACAGTGTGTTTGTTGTACTGTGCGGCTCAATGATGACAAAACAGCATGATTAGCGTCATGAACTATCTCATCAGTGAATCAATTCTTTCAGGACGCCAGAGGAGTCTTATTGTATAATACTAAATATTAGTGGATATACAGTATCTCAACTTCACTTGGGTTTGTACACATTTAATTTTGTTAAAACGTTCACTTATTTAACAGACAGTATCGTTCGGTCAGTAAAATTTTTCTGTATGTTTGTATGATCATAATCGTATTTCTATGAACATGTATGCTTGATCACGTCTTACAGCTTACACGCATATCCCTCTAACTAGCTTAAATGTTAAGCAAAGATAGATAGTGACCAGCAGTGGAACCCAGGACGCGTTACGTCCAATTTGCGACTGGTCAGATGGATATACCTGCATCTCGGAGTTGATGTTCACGAGATGGTGTTTGAAGAGAAGAGTACTGAGTTCGAGTTTTAAATGAGACGAAACGCGCGTCCTGGATTCCGATGCTAGCCGCTATTCATCTTTGTTCAAAATGCTTGTGAATTAAGGCAATATGCACAGGATGCATATATGCCAGTAAGAGACTAATCAACTGCAGTCCTAAATAACAATGGGAAGATACAAGTAAAAGAATACCAAGTGAGTTTCAGCATAAATGTTAGTTGCTTAAATCATTCAACGACTCATTAACCTCACTGTATATAAATGTGCTTCTTAAGTTCTATTAATGCTCTCACTCGCATGCATTTGTATTCTCACTTCTGTTCCTATTCACTTCGTGTCCCTGAGGTCTTGTGATCTGTGCTATACAATAATAAACTGTGATCATTGTATTGTCTTTAAAAACTTACCGTTGAGAGTTATCTAGTGAAGAAATTATCCCAAAGATAAATTGTAGTGAACAAGAACCTAAGTGGGGACAATCGAATGTATTGGAATCCAAAATTACAGAATCACTTAGTAAAATCTGAGAACCATACAGTAAATACTTCATTTGCAAAATGTCAATCAATCGTCTCAGACTTCCTTATTCTGTAGTGACTCACATTCATCACGAGAACACGACTGGTTTAATAAAATCAATTATTATTATAACCAATTGTACCAGTGTTTGTTTTAATGTGCTTTTGTTTGACTGTGCTAATGACAGCTATTTTGTGCTTCCATTCTTTTACTTACACTTTTGATTGTGACTTCGCGCGAATTCGGTTACGTTCTGTAACCAAGGTTGTATCCTGGCACGATCTCGGTATCCTTTCGATGCCACGAGATCGCCAGCGAATATATCTCGATTTGGTCCATTAACTGTTTTCTGATATTTGGCTTCTCGGGGATCTTATGGATTTCTTTGGTTACGTTCGACCTTCGCCTTCTGATCTACTTGGCACGTGTTTCTTTGTAGCGGTGTTCATAGTCAACCGCGACTCGACGCCACGCTACAATTCTTTCAAATCCACACTAATCATTGTCTGTTCTCGTTCTCTTTCCTTTGATCTTCCTAATCTTTTTACTTACTTACTTACGCCTGTTACTCACAATGGAGCATAGACCGCCGACCAGCATTCTCCAACACACTCTGTCCTGGGCCTTCTTTCCTAGTTCTATCCAATTCTTGTTCATTTTTCTCATGTCTATCTCCATTTCCCGGCGTAATGTGTTCTTTGGTCTTCCTCTTTTCCTTTGGCCTTGAGGATTCCATGTGAGGGCTTGTCTTGTGACGCAGTTGGGTGCTTTCCTCAATGTGTGTCCTATCCACTTCCAGCGCTCCTTCCTGATTTATTCCTCTGCTGGGATCTGGTTTGTTCTCTCCCACAGTACGTTGTTGTTAATAGTGTCCGGCCAACTGATCTGAAGTATTTTGCGTAAACAACTGTTAATAAACACTTGTATCTTCTGGATGATGGTTTTCGTAGTTCTCCAGGTTTCCGCCCCATACAATAGAACTGTCTTGACATTTGTATTGAAGATTGTGAATTTGGTATTGGTTGACTGAGAGTTGCTTTGAGTTCCAGATGTTCCTCAGTCGTAAATATGCTGCTGTTGCTTTGCCGATCCGCGTCTTCACATCTGCATCAGATCCACCCTGTTCATCAATGATGCTGCTCAGACATGTAAAGGTTTTTACATCTTCCAAATCGTCTCCGTCAATTTTGATTGGATTGGTGCATGCTGTGTTGTATCGGAGAATCCTGCTTTTCCCTTTGTGCATATTGAGACCTACTGCTACTGAGGCTGCTGCCACACTGTTCGTCTTCTCCTGCATTTGTTGTTGCGTTTGCGACAGGAGGGCCAGATCATCTGCGAAGATTAGATCGTCCAACTGCATCCTAGATGTTCATTGTATCCCGTGTTTCCCACCAGATGTTGACGTCTTCATGATCCAGTCGATCACCAGGAGAAAGAGAAAGGGTGAGAGCGAGCAACCTTGCCTGACAACGGTCTTTACTTCGAACGAGTCTGTGAGCTGTCCTCTCTTAATCTTCTACTGCTAGGTATTTCACTTTTGATTGATGATACGTACTATTTTATATCTATGGATATCAGTAGATTACACTACACTCGTCTCCGCTTTAAAACAGTCATCCTTGCGGTGGTTCTGCTCACTACAACCATATTATAATTAGTAAGATATGAAGTATGTGGAGAGGATTCAATTTAAAATTAGCTTACACCATAGACAGCTGTATCCCATCAATAAGCTATTGTAAATTGTACTTCTCTAGTACAACTATCTCTATCAACAACCATATAAACTCATGAACACGAAATGGATCATATCTGTTTACATTTGTACTGTATAATAAGAAGAATGTTTCAAACAAGGTGAAGAGTATAAAGCACATTCTTACTTACTTTAGAATTCATATTTTCCAATGATTGTGATGTGTTATTCTCAGATTGATTATTATCTATATTCAATTGTTTGATGGTGTCATACAATTTGATTAAATGCATTTTAATACTCTGGAAATTAAAAATATACACAGATATAAATGTATTTTAACACAACATTACAGAACCTTTTAGTAAAATTTGAGCACCCAAAATGCCCTGGTATGGTCGAGGGTGGGGAGGGTCAGTACCCCTCTCCAAATGCTCTCACATGACCATGTGCATGCAACTACTGATCAAAGAAGTCCTACTCACTGCCTTCTCACACCACGGATGTTGTCTACTGAATTGAGAGAACAAAAAGCAAAGGTCCGGCGCTTTAACCAGATTGGTGGATATGGATTCTAAACCAATAGTGCATATGGAGTCCAGGGTCGTGAAAGAATGGATGTCGTATGGACCAATCGTTGATCACCGGCTACCATGGGACTTCATCTCCTAACATTGCTCTACTGCTTTGTGAAATAGACCTTTAGGTTGAATGCTCCGGGTGTGATCCCCTAAGAAAACTATCTGCTTCGGTTTGGGCACTGGGGTAGTATCATAGCCACCACAGAAATCAAGTGATTTGTGTGGCGAATATGTATTCGGTACCCCTTTCTACCAATATTTATGTGTTCACATAAATGAATAAAACAGATACAAATGGATAGTTCCTTACACCAATCTGACATATATTACTTAATAAAGCTGTTAATATAATTTGCATTTTTATTCATTTGTAAAGTTTCTTTTAAGTGTGTAGTACACAATTAAAACATACTGATTATGTTCACTTGGTATTGTTTACTTGAATCTTCAGATTGATGTTTAGCATTGCAATTGATCAGTCCCTTATTGGTACATGTATTGCATCTATATTGCCTTACATCACAAGCTTTTTAAGCAAAGATGGATATTGGCTAGCATTGGAATCTAGAACATGCGTTTCGTCCCATATGAGACTCATCAGTAGTTGTTTAATTGATCAATTACAGTTATAAACATCAATGAAAAGATTTAAACAAACAATACCGAATGATCATAACAAAAGGAATTCATTGGTAAATGAACAATATTTATTACTAACGTATATATTCTTACCTCAATTGTACGTTTAGTTCGAATATTTTGTTTACGACTTCTATGTAACATATTACTTAATGATTCAATTACATTATTCAATTCATGATTTGATTGTTCCGCTGTTAATTTCAATTTTCTCATAACTTGATACTATACAAAATTACAATGAATGTATTATAAGTAGTGTGTATATTGTCATAGTAAACATTGATTATAAATATAATATAAAATGATTGAGATTAATTAGGTTAACTACTGATCACTGGATAGTGATCAACGTCATGTGTGTCATGTCCTTCTTTAGTGCCGATCAAATGCTATCGACCAAGTTGCAATGTGGCCACTAGTCTAGGTGACTTAACATTGCATGTTGAGATAAGATGTTGGTTGGAGATAGTCAACAAGAAAAACCTGGACCCGGGTTTCGCGCTACTTGGCACTCGCCAACAAGGTGTACTTGCAATCTTGAGGGAACTAGTGCTCTCTAACGGATTCGATCCTATGTCATCCAGCTTTATAGTTAGAGACGTTACCCCTAGGCTATCCGGGCAGCGACCGACCTCCTGTTAACTACTGACAATTTATTGTGTTCTACGATCTAATTCGGTTAGCAGTACATACAGAGATAATAGAGAAGATTTTTAGTTCGAGTGGATAAATTTGACGGAGTTTTATTCTCTGAGTTGGATGATTTGGTCGTGGAGATTTCATCGTTCTCCTGAAAGACATCATCAGATTGGTTCATACGCTTAGGATCCTTCAGCCCTTACACACCATTAGTTTGGAACCAGGGTTTTCTAACTCCGCTAAATAAATCCTCCATATCCACAAACCCGGTTAAAGCGTCAGATATTCGTTTTTCGTCGTCTCAATTTAGTAAACAACATCTCGACCTTGAGAAAGCAGTGAGTAGGACTTCCCTATCAGTGGTTGTATGTACGTGGCCATATGAGAGTATTTAGAGAGGGAGAGCTGACTTTCTTCATACTAGGTCTTACCAAGGCATTTGGAGGCTTACATCCAAAAACGGCTGGTTATCTTAGTTTTAAATATTATATTCCAGTGTTACTGTGAAGATAAGGATAAAGACACCCATTATGAATTCCATTATTACCCACTAAGTCCAATAAAATAACTCATCAAAGTATCTAAGATATAAAAATAAATTTCATACCTGTTGTATTAATGAATTATAACGTTGATTCAATAATTCATAAGAACATTGAATTTCTGATAAATGAGGTATGGTATTTTGTGCTTTGAGTAATTCAATAGCACGTTTCCTTGATCTATATATACATATGTATTAAACAAAAAATAAAAAAGAAAAAAAAAGAAACAAAGTTCAAAGATAGTTCCCATCACGAACTGAGAAAGAGAGAGAGAGAAAGAGTTAAAAATAGCAATTAGTTTGAAATTGATTGTTACCATGACAACAACAAGGTAACATACCAAGTAGAAGTCCAGAACCTCTAACATGTAAGTGAATATAATAAATTTCACTATTTCACTGTGTCTTTCATCTGGGCGAGACTAATTTATGGACGACCTTTGAACGAATCCCAAGTGACCTTGAGAGGTATTAGTCAATCAGCAAACAGTCAGTATAGAGTAAAAAAGATGTTATACAAAACCAAGGAAGTAAAGTGGATACACTTCTTATACGTGGTTCAAAAACTTGTCAAGGTTAGAAAGAGGTTCAGAGGTTCTAAAATCATAATGCATGTAGTAGAGGAAATCATTCATACGACTACAGAATAGTCGAACTCTGGAGTCATGATAAATTCTCAAATACTCTTTCAGCCTCCATCTCATAGCTTCAGTATTTTTTATGTGCACTCCGGCTGATGAGTGCACAAAATGCTACTTGTGGATGACGACACGATGCACATAACCAAGTCTATGTAGAAGTCTGTACGCTCTCCAAACATCCGTACACATTGTAGTACCTGACTGCAGCCAGTGTTACTGGTGCTTTAATTCTTCAGTTCGCAATAATTGTCGTATTTTGCCGCAGTTAGGAATTATACATAGGGTTTTCATCACGAATTGATATCAGCTATAATGCCAGAAATTTATTTAGCAAAGTGCATGAAAGGCTTTCGTGTTAAAATACGAGATTTATTATCTTATATCTGATTGATTCGTCCACAAATTATAGTCTCGCCGTTTTATTTGTTATAGCCACTCAATTATCACGTTTTGTACAAAATTCCCTGTGAACCGATCGTATGTTAGCATTAAGTACTGAAGTTTGCGCCGTGACCTTAAAATCTCTCAGACGCTTCTGATTAGCTCGTCCATAAATTAGGATCTTGCCAGAAATCATCGTTCATTGCTCTCTAACCTGATATGATCTCTTCAACAGATATTAGCATATGATGAAAATCATCATTATATTACAAGTTATTAAAATGTAAACCATATAGTCAATGAGATTTCTTTCAATAGTATTCAGTCATTATGGAAGCCAATTTGATTCGACATTTCTAAACACGGTACACTCATGAGTTTGTTAACTTGGTGTGTATCAGGAATCACAACATTATCTTGATAGTTGTTATGTTCAAACTCACTCATTTCTTGATATCATGGGATTAGTAACCGGGATTACTAGTCGACTTTGTAGATGACGTTATGGAATTCTTCAATTAATATGAAAAGTCTCCACTTACATTTCTCAATCATCTAGCTTATTTGAATTCAAGTAGTGGTAATTGTAGAGGTAGTAGTACTGTAGTGTATGGTACATATGTTGACAGGCATAAATAGTACGTAACAACAACCAGAAGTAGAATGTATGGCAGCAGATGATTGTGAAGATTGTAATGAAGAGAATAGAAATGTAAACTGAGAGTAATTGTAATAACAACAAGAATGAAGGAACGATGAAGTTTGTAAGAAACAATTGTTGGGTGATGTGCAAATAAATTATTTTATGTATTGGTGTTTCCCACTTCGGTGATTGCTCACACCAGTGCTAGTAGTGTAAGAATACAGAATAAGATTCAAAGATGATAAGAATATTCGCAGAATACACGTTTCTCTACTTTTTAAAATAAGGAGTTAACGCAGTATAGATGGCAAAGTTCGCAGTACGGCTAAGATAAGGTTAGCCCATGCAGGTCTTCACTTCCCTGTTGGTCATATACTTTGTCTTCTACATAAGGGCAATTACGCTGAACGAGTTGGTACTGGTGCTCCAGTCTATCTAGCTACATTTCTCAAATACTTGGCTACAGAAGTTTTTAAGTTAGATAGTAATGCCATTCATGATAACAAGAAGACTCACATCATTCCAAGACATCTAAAATTATTTTACACTTCATGACCTAAGGATAAACTCAAGATTGTATGGATCTACACGATTTTGATCTGTGATTGTTTCCCTTAACTAGGTAGTCTGAGATTATTAACAAGGTTTAGGCTAATAGTCAATGAATTTATGATATCAAATCAGGTTTTAGTTTGAGAGCCCCCTTTGATCTTACTAAATATAATATTAAACTTGTGAAAGGAATTCATAGTTGTGAAGAAGAATTTCGATTATCCTATAAAGTCTACATTGAATAGTTTCATCAAAACGTTTTTATTGACATACTAGTTAACATCAATAGAGGTGAATTCAAAAAGAAACAAACTATTATATTTGCATCCGAAGGCGTTTTGTGAAGATTGTAGCAATTTCAAAAGTTGAGATCATGAGTCAGTTGAAGTTAGACCATCATGGGAAACCTGGAAGCACTAGACTGCCGTTTCATCCTATTGTGGAACTCCTCAGCAGTGTGCATTGACACCTCCGCCTCGTGCGATTCAAACCCAGAACCTATCGATCTTGCACATGAACGCTTAACCATTAGACCACTGAGCCTGTATCCAACGTGGTTAATAACTAACTTCAACCAATCCACATTCGTGGATGCACACTACTGAAGAGTCTCACACTAGGAAGAAACAGTCATCCAATGTCTCCAGGTTTTCCATGGTAATCTCCACAAACCCCCCACCCCCACCCCCACCCCGTTCCTAATAATTTTCAAGGTAACATGATGAATGAATTCACTTACTTGATTAAACTTGTTTTATAATTATTGATCAATTTTAATTTTGGCTCATTATTTAAATGTTGTTTTATTATCAATTCAGAATATGTAATATCCGATTGATTATGATCATTATCATCATGATTTAATCTCATTAATGGATGATCATTTTTCTTAGAACTATTCATAGATGAATGTTGATTACAATCATTAGGATCATTGAAATTCTTTTGATTTATCGTTGAATTCTTAGAATTCAATTTGAATGTTCGTCTTGAATGATATTTGAATGTTTTCAATGGAACAAGTATATTCAATGATGATCTATGATAAAGAAGAAGTGATGATAAGATTAGTTGAATTGATAAGAATGGATAGTTATTTTGGGTAGTGATTATATTCTGTACTGTTTGTGGGATATGTGGGGGGTCGGGTGGGAGGTTTTTATTGTTATTCCAGACAAAATGATCTGTATAATAATAATAATTTTTTTCGATTACTGTTTATACTTTTACTATCACTATCACTATGGGATTTGAATTGACAATTAGTATTTTTGTGGTAATATAACGTTTTTTTAGCGAGTTAGTTTTCTACGGGATAGGGTCGCTAACCCCATGTCCAACCCTAATCCTTTATCCGGGCTTGGAACCGCTAGTAGCCTCCGTAGAGACTCCAGGCGGAGTAGGTAATTTTTGTGGTAATGTGATATGGTAAATTGAACTGATCTACGTACTTACGTACGTACGAAGTTCTATGTTGCTGTTGTTGACTGACTGAATGATAATAGTATTAGTAGTGTGTATTATATTTAATAACAAATATGCCTTTGTCATTCATGCTTTATTACAATTGATAATCAAGTGCATTACTTACTTTATTGATTTAAAAATTATCTTGGTTGGTGTAATGCTTGTTTTAATAGCTATAGTTCTTTTAAAATATACTTGTCCTTTATAGTTTGAATTACAATCTAACCCTAGTTAGACTGTCAATGAAGAACTGAAAGTACTGGACGGTTATTTTGTTCTACTATTGAACTACTCAGCAGTTTACATCCAATACATCCACCCGAAAATGCCCTGGTAGGGTCGAGAGTGGAGAGAGTCAGCTCTCCCTCTACAAATGCTTTCACATAGCCACGCGTATACAGACACTGATCAGTAAAGTCCTACTCACTGCCTTCAAGCAGCAAGGGATGTTGTTTACGAAATTTAGAGGATAAAAAGTGAATGCCCAGCGCTTCAACCGGGTTGGTTGTGAAGACGGTGGATCTAATTAGGGCAGTTGCAAAACCCTGATTCTAAACCAATGGTGCACATAGGCTACAGGATTCTGAAGAAATAAATGGTGTATGAATCAATTATTGGTCATCGACTACCATGGGACTACATCAACTTACGTTGCTCCACTGCCTTATAGATCAGACCTTTAGGTTGAAGATTCCGGGTGTGATCCCCTAAGAAAACCACCTGATTCGGTTTGAGCACCCGAGCAGTATCACAGCCCATACACAAATCAAGTGACTTGTGTCCAGTATATGTATGTCGTGCCTACTTGTACCAACATTTATGTGTTCAAATAAAACAAATAAATAAATTATCCGGAAATCGAACCTAGGATATTTCGTCACCCGCGAGAATGCTTAACCCCTGGATCACTGAACCAATATATACTTATGTACATGCCTAATTCATTATCCTACATTGCTTGTGCTGGATAGCCATCTCATACTTGACATAGTTGAGCTCTATTGGTCACTGTTTCTCACTACTACTCTAGAAATCGCATCTTAAATCTAGTAACAATCAAGCACTTGATTATTATCAGTACAAAACGTTTATGGAGATTATAGTGCTTCCAGGTTTTCAATCATGGTCTAGCTAAGACAAGTTCCTGATTTAAACAATAAAATTTCTACAAACCCCACAAATCTGTCTATCCTTATATCCCACATAAACAACTAGGCTAAAAGCTTCCTACGACAAATTCGTTGGTGAATAAACCTAAAACGAAACACTGACAATTTGTCGGTATTATCACATGATGATCTCAGTTGGTGTACCACTAAAACACGGAGAATAATGGATAGCTGTTACTTCTCAGTATAAGAATTCTTAATAGGATAAACCAAAATCCTCACCAAGGACTTAAACCATAACCTTTAGGTCTCGTGGTCAATCGCTTGCCATTAAAATAACTGGATCGGTGTCAACATATGTTACAGTCTGAGGATTATTCAATATTATCCGGTAACATTTATTTTATTGCTGACATATATGAATCATACTAATCACTACTTCATATTAAGACTTCAAGAAAATCAAAAAGTAAGTAAGTCACTTATAAGCTGACTATCGTAGTGCATGCGTTTAATTTGCGGATTGTATTCATCACAAGTTAAATAGATTCTGAATAAAAATCAAACTTACTTTAACCAAGATAGTTTATGATGTTGAATTGAACGATGCTTCGATTTCATGTATTTCAGTCTAGCTGAAAGTAAACGACAATGATCTTCTAATTTTCTAAAATAAATGATATTTATAATTTATCAGTATAGAGTAGTGAAGATTGTTAGGTTTAGATTGATATCATGAATGAAAATGATGTTAGACTACTGTTGAAAACCTGGGAGCACTGGACGATCATCACTTTCTAGTGTGGGAGTCCTGTCGGGGACGTTAGATCCTCAGAACTCACCTGGGAAAGGACCTAATTTTGTAATTTTATTTAGAAAATTTGAATTTATTTTCGCGACAAAGGCGCTCTTGTCACCTTCATGTCGTATTTCCCACTGGGAAATATCTTAAATGCTATTGGTCCGTTGCGTCTTTTACTATGCTATTTGGTAACTGTCATCAAGGACGGTTTTGTACTGTATATATACGTTTTGATTTGTGTTTGTTGTGATCGCTCGTTTCTGGCTGTTTTGCAGAATATACTTCCCTATTCCAAGCTTGGACTTTTTCCTCTAGTTAGCGGGGCTGAGACACATGAAATAGCTAGCTTACTGGTCTTTGGTCACTGAGTCTTTGTTCTCGTTCGCTGATTAAGTGAACTCGTGACAGCTTCAACCCTAGAAACTCCTCAATAGCGTGCATCGGCGAACTTTCATGCAGGTTCGAGTCCTAGAGTTTTAGTGAGAAGCTGTGATCAGTGGAGTTCAACCACGTCTGTTGTGAGGCAGTTGTTTAAACTTTCACATAGAAGTTCAGGAGTGTATATGGTCAATCTCTTGTTGGCATATGTACATCCTATGCGGATTATTGAATTTATGTAACCTCATAGATTATTTAGTCTTTAAATAAACGTTTGGTTTGACTTCTAATTACATCATCGTTTTTTTTCTCTCACTCTATGTAAACCCTTATCATAAACTGATTAAAGTTAGACACATACACCATAAGTAATTCAGAGGTGAGGCATTGACAAACAAGACTGAATGTCCTGATTTGTATTCTCAGTGTTGGAGTCGTGATTGAGCACTGTCTTAAAGTGAAATGATCATCCAATGTTTTCAAGTTTCCATTGGTTATCTAACTTAGACCAGTTCATAACTTCAATATACTGAGAAATCATTCAATGGATACGAACGAACATATGTTAGCATTCACTGAAACTAACTTCTTCTCTCCATCTCTAACTATGAGTTGAGAATATTTATATGCCAATATTTCACATGGAATAAGTTCTCCATTAATATCGATAAAGATTAATTTAGATAACATCCAACATTAAAAAGAAAAAGTTGAATTCGATTAGTATTACTCATTGGAAAGTGAAACAAAAAAAACGGAATGATTCCCTGTACAGAAGGTATGTAAGTCAACTCGATTTAACCAAGTAAGAATAGATATTTATATTGAAACATGTGATGAATAAGATAAGGCAGTGAGATAAATTAACTGTTTTGTTATTATCATCAACTCCATAGATACACGAAGATACAACTCTACAGGGTTCGAACTCAAAAACTTCAAGTCTGTTAGGGAATCCTTAATCATAAGATCATTGAATGCACAGTATGAAATTCAATCACTTTGAAGGAGTTGTATGTGTGATTGACACTTTCTAATTTGTAATAATAATAATAATAATATCTTAACTAAGCTACAAGCTATATTGCTATGTAGAGCTGATGGTCACATATGAGACTGGAGGTCTGCCATTGATATTGTGGATGGTTCGGCATTACTTTGGCAAGTTGTGCTGACTGTTCATGCACAAAATTGGTTTGCTGTTTAACTAATTTCATTCATACTGGTGGTTGCTTTCCAGTGTTCTCAAGGGTCATTTTCATTGGGACATTGTAAGGCATGTCGCCATTGTTAACCTTGATGAGTTTGACTGTCGTGTAATCGGAATAGGTCAACTTTGGCCTGTTCATACTCTGTATATAACTGTACATGTGACATGAATATGTATATGAATGGTGCGAATGGTTCACCAGGGTGCTTGGTACCTTTAGGGTTGCGCCACAGGATTGAGCTCTACTATTTAGATTGTAGCATTAAAGCCTATACAGTGTCTGGCTCTCCTGTTAAACGGGATTGAGCTGTACTATTTCGGTTGTCATGTGAGAGTCTGGGTGGTGTCTGGTTCTTTTGAAATCCAATGTAAAGTTACCGTGGCCCACAAGGGTATATTATATAACTATATAACTAACCTTATTCTGTATAAAACAATCAAATATAAATACAATCAATCTACACTTCAATTCACATCAATTAAAACATACATTTTACTTACTTTTGTTTTTCTTCCCAGTAAGCATGCATTTCATTTAGCTGACATTTCAACTGTTCATTCTCATGTTGAATGTTTGACCACTAAAAAAAGAGATTGATTAAGAAATACTGGCTGTTTACCTTATTTTTTACGAATTTTAAACTTATCACAGAGTAGACATGCGATATGTGCTACTTATATCAACATAAGTAGTATATAATGCTGGTTAGGAATAAAATATCTGGCAGCAGAAGTTTGAAAAGATCGAGAAAGAAAGAACGAAAACAGAAGCAATTCGGTATGGAAATGTAGGAACATGGAAGTCTAAGAAGATTAATTGATACTTACAAAAGGAATAACCAAGTTTGAAACAATTGATTAATATTTTGCAAATGAAGTATTTATTGTATGGTTCTCAGATTTCAATAAAAAGTTCTGTAATTTGGTGTACGATTGCATTCAGAAGGGTTTTTGTGGAGATTGTAGTAATTCCAGTAGTTGAGGTCATGAGTCAATTGAAGCGAGATCACCACGGGAAACTTGGAAGCACTGGACGGCCGTTCCGTCCTATTGTGGAACTCCTCAGCAGTGCGCATCCACAACCGCACCTCGCGGGATTTGGACCCAGGACCTATCAGTCTCGATTGTTCTCTTTCATCATAGTCATGTCACGGTGTAAGAAGAGTAAATCTTCTCATTCTTTAAAAGCATGTAACTTGTCAAAGCATTTTATACTCCATCATTTTACTGAATTTACAACATTTCGCAGATGACCTAGCTCGTCCATGTGATGAGTCTTGCAACTTGAATGCTAAATTATTTTCTCAAGCTATTCTGTAACCCTCAAGCTAGAACTACACAGCGACCCGAACACCAGAGAGAAGACGCAAAGTGTGCGAGAAGTACTTTACCCCAAGGTTCAATTCAATGCAGAAAATACAGGGTTTTTATAATATTTTAAATGTCCTTGGGTTGCTAGAAGATTCTGGAATGCTACTGAACATAATAGCAGTGTACGAATCAGCCAATCAGAACCTCTGCATGTCACGTTTCGCCATTACAATCTCCACAAAACCCCTCCTATGTTGAATGTTAAGTTTATCCCATTTGAAAATAACAAAACTAAATTGTATTACATTGAATATTCTATCGTGGTTGATCATGATCATGAACCAACTTGAAGTAGTAACCTTCTTTAATAGTGAAATCAAATAAGTATACAGAATAAAACAAAGCAAACTACTGTATAATAGATGAGAATGATATTTGTTTTACCTTCGATAAAACATCATTATTGAATTTATCTAAAATATGAATGAATGAAAGAAAGAGCATGAGTTCATTCAATCAATAGATATTACTATATCATAATGTATGTTTATGGACGAGCCAATCAGAAGCGTCTGAGAAATTTCAAGGTCACGGCACCAACTTCAGTACTTAATGCTAACATACGATCGGTCCACAGGAAATTTTGTACAAAACGTGATAATTGAGTGGCTATAACAAATATAACGGTGAGACTGTAATTTGTGGACGGATCAATCAGGTATAAGATAATAGATCTCGGATTCGGGTACGAAAGCCTTTCATCCTTTTGGTTAAATAAACTCCTGACATTATGGCTGATGTCAGTTCGTGATAAAAACCCCATATATAATTCCTAACTAAGGCAAATTAGGACAATTATTGCTTACTGGATAATAAAAGCACCAGTAACATTGGCTACAGTCAGGTACTAGAATATATATGGATGTTTGGAGAGCGTACAGACTCCTACATAGACTTGGTTATGTACATCGTGTCGTTATCCACAAGTAGCATTTTGTGTACTCAACAACCGGAGTGTACACAAACACTGTTGATGGTATGTGGTCGAGGCTGAAAGAGTATTTGAGACCTTATTATGACTCCAGAGTTCGACTATTCTGTAGTCGTATGGATGATTTCCTCTACTGTATGCATTACGATATTAGAACCTCTGGACCTCTTTCTAATCTTGATAAGTTTTTAAACCACGTATAAGAAGTGTATCCACTTTATTTCCATGGTTTTGTATAACATACTTTTACTCTATACTGACTGTTTGCTGATTGACTAATACCTCTCAAAGTCACACGAGATTCGTTCAAAGGTCGTCCATAAATTAGTCTCGCCTGTTTATCTTTTAAATAACTTTCGAATGAATTTTTAAATGGGTCAGAGTAATACAGAGATAATACTGTTGTTACTCCAGAATGTTCAGCCATATTGTTAAGATATTATTAAGACATTTTCAAGATCCACTTATGAATTATGGCCCAATCTGTTCTAATTTATGGGTGTGAAATGTGGACATTAATGGTAGAAGGTACTCGTAAGTTACTAATATTTGATCACAGATGTCTCAGAAATATTGTCAACATCTGCTGCGATCGCCGGGTAGGTAATAGTGAGGTTAGACGTAGGGTATTGGAAAATGATGATGGTAAATCAGTTCATGAGATTGTAAATCTTCATCGACTGAGATGGTTGTGTCACGTGGTACGTATGCCTGAACATCGATTACCACGATACACAATGCTTTGTGTCCGGGATGGTTTGAAGAAAGTTAGGGGTGGCCAAACCAAAACGTGGCATCAATGCTTGACGTCACTAACTTCTGGTCTTAGCCATGTTGGTAGATGCAGACTACTTGGTTCGGATCGGCGTGACATGGTGTAGGTGTATACGCTCTCTGCCTTCCCTTAAACTATTAAATTAAAATCGCTTCATATCTTTCTTTCTACGAACTAATTCTTTCTTCCTGTACTATATCCTTATTGCAATCTTTCTTTTATGTATTACCACCATTGAATTAACTACTTCTATGAATCCGGTGTTGATCTTGCTGTGTCAATGAGGTATGGCAACTTGGATCGATACACATATTTGCCTGGTCCTACCTTGTAGCTGACTGACTGATGATAAAATCACTAATCAAAATATCGATTTCTATGAATCTGTCACTGAGCTAACTAATGACATGCTTATCAGTAATAGTGGCTTTGAGTCAGCTTTAAACCCTTGGTGGTCATTGATACAGTAATATCTATCCTTCCCTTACCTGTTCAGTCTAGAACACAATAATCGGCCTTTTTTATACAAATAATGTATTTCAAAAATACATAGTTTATATGCAAGCAGATCAGACCGCATCAGACATCATAAAATGAAATATAACAGTTACATAAAATTGACAAGTCAAAAATGGTTGTGAGTATGGGATTATGTAAGTAGTAAATGGGGAATAAATCAATAATCGTAAATCAAATAACAGTAATTAATGGGTCAAATGAAATCATACTATAAGCGTCACAAGACAAGCTCTCATCACTTGGAATCCTCAAGGCCAAAGGAGGAGAGGAAGACCAAAGAACACATTACGCCGGTAAATGGAGATAGACATGAGAAAAATGAACAAGAATTGGATGGAACTAGAGAAGAAGGTTCAGAACAGAGTGGGTTGGAGAATGCTAGTCGGCGGCCTATGCTCCATTAGGAGTAACAGGTGCAAGTAAGTAAGTAATAAAATTCACTTGGTATTATTTACTTGAATATTTCTGTTGATGTTTAGGACTGCGAATGATCAGTCTCTTATTAGTATATATGCGTACTGTGAGGATTGTCTCGATATTGTTTAAGTTAAAAGCAAAGATTAATGGTGGCTAGCAGTAGGATCCAAGATGAGCGTTTCGTTTTATTTGGGACTCGCCAGTTGGATGTGCCTGCATCTCACAGTTTATGTTCACTGTCTGGCACTCCAACCCAGTACCGTTCGCTTTATAATTATAATTAAACATGTAAACCACTGGATAACAGTTTAATGGTCAAGAGTTTAAGTGATCACCGCAAACCTTTGAGGATTTAGATTATACCCCAAATGGGTTCGTGAATGTGCACTGCTGAGAAGTCACATTTTAGGACGAAATAACTAATTCCTGGTTTCAATAAATGTTTAACAAAGACCAATCTGTTACGTAATCCATAATATTCCGTATTTGATGAACACGTTGATACATATAGAAATACTAAAATTCTATTTTATGGATAAACAGGTAGACAGATTTTTATTTGTTTATTTATTTAAACACATAAACATTGGTACAAATAGGCATCAAATAGATATGCGCTACACTCCGTCATTCAATTCGTGTGAGGGTTGTGGTACCGTCCGAGTGCCCAAACCAAAGTAGGTGGCTTTCTAAGGGGGACACACTCAGAGGATTCGACTTAAATGTGTAATCTAAAATTCAGTGGAACAATGTTAGGAGATACAATATCACGGTAGTCGGTGACCAACAATAGGTTCATACGTCATTTGTGCACCATTGGTTTGAAATCAAGGTTCTCTAACTCCCTTAGGTGGACTCTCCGTGTGCATCAACCCGGTCAAAGCGCCGGACGTTCGATTGTCGTTCTCTCAATTTCGTAAACAACACCCCCGCCACAAGAACGCAGTGAGTAAGACTTCTTTGGCAGTGGTTGTATACATGTGGCCATGTGAGAGCATTTGGAGAGAAAGAGAGATGACTCTCCCCACTCTTGACCGTACCAGGGCATTTGGGGATATATAAATTAAATGACTGATGGATGATGAAATTTAACGTTTTTCTCTCTGTACATTGTATAATAAAAAACTTTAGAGAACATAAAGGCCTATAGACACTTACTTGATTGACTATCATCTGAACTGCCTGATCGACTGATATGCTTCGATTCAATCAGAGGTTCATTTCGCCTATAGAATTAGTAAAGTTAAAAGATGTATTTATTTGATGATTAGTTGATAAAATCATCCGGAGTCCTAGAATTCTAGTGAAAAGCCGTAACCAGAAGAATTGAACCGTGTCTGTTGTGAGGCAATTACTCACTGAACACAACGGTGGACGGTGGCACAATATCGTGAATTGATTGAATTTAAACATTAACAGTGTTGGATATCGGCTCAGTGGTCTCACCGTTAAACGTTCGCGCACCAACCTTTGTGGGTTCGAGACACTAGTCACAGAAAACCTGGCTACGAGTGCTTTTTCATATGTTAGCTCTATATATTAAAGTTTCTTTGAGCCTGATTGAAAATATTTGGGAGAAAATGAGGTGTGCTCTCTTTTTATGATTGACTTTTTCTAACCACACCCTTTATTTCTCAAAAAGCACCATAATCCTAGATGTCGGTTGTCTGAGGATATACCTTACTGTTATCACAGCTCTATACATTCAGAAATACAACTTCGTTCAGGGATCATGAGTTCGCTACTTTTAGTGTTATCACTCTTAAAGTGACCTGTCTGTCATGGTAGGTACCCAAAGAGTAAACTCCTTAGCCATATTAACTGGATCGAGACATCAAGATAAGGAAGCTCAATCATCACGTCAAGGTAGCAACTGTGGTTGAGAACTTTATGTTATATTTATGTATGAACTGTTATATCCGAACAAAGAATTAATGAATGGTAACTGTTAGGAATTATTTATGGACTTTTATTACATATAATCCTATTGGATAATTACTCAGTAACCGGGTTATATACATGTACATATTTCTTCTATCATAAGTTCTCATTTGACCTATTGACCATTGTTATTCTACTTACCATACTTAATGATACGTCTTGATAATTGAACGCTATATTCGGTTCCTAAGCTATTCTCGTAACCCTCAAGCTAGAACTACACAGCAACTTAAACACGAGAGAGAAGGCGCAAAACTATACGAGCAGCACTTTACTCCAAAGGTTTGTCCTAGTACAGAACTTATAGGGAGTTTATAGTATTTTAGATGTCCTTGGGTTTCCCGAATATTCTGGAATGCTACTAAACACAGTAGCAGTATAGTAATAAGCCAATCAGAAACTCGACATATGACTTTTCATTTTCTTGATGTTTCTGCCTAAACTTCAAGTGAACGCTGATTGGATAAAATGCTTCTTAGTGTTTTCCTGAGCCTTTCTTGTCTTTTGCGAGAAGTTTTCTGGATCACCCCAACACCTAATTTATTCCTAATTAATCAGTTACAGTATTCTATGCTCACAGCCACTTTTGGCTTGATCTTGTACAATGATTATTTTTCATTTTATGGTGTACTGCAGTCTGATCTATATGGATAACATCATTGATGAACACAGTGGGCTTGATACAGATGTGAAGGCGTCGATCAGCAAAGCAAGAGCAGCATATATACAATTGAAGCACATCTGGAACTCAAAACAACTGTCGGTCAACCAACACCAAAGTCACAATTTACAATACAAATGTCAAAACAGTTTTACTGTATGGAGCAGAAACTTGGAAAACTACGAAAGCCATCATCCAGAAGATACAAGTATTTATTAACAGGTGTCTACGCAAAATACTTCAAATCTGTTGGCAAGACACTATTAACAAACAAACCAGATCCCAGCGGTGAGAGAAACCAGAAAGAAGCGTTGGAAGTGGATAGGACACACATTGAGGAAAGAAGCCAACTGCATCACAAGGCAAGCTCTCATCACTTGAAATCCTCAAGGGCAAAAGAGAAGAAGTTGAACAAAGAACACATTGCGCTGAGGAACAGAGACAGACATGAGAAAAATGAACAAGAATTGGATAGAACTGGAAAGGAAGGCTGGGGATAGAGTGGGTTGGAGAATGCTGGTCGGTGGTCTATGCTCCATTGGGAGTAAGTAAGTAAGTAAGCAGTCTTATCTGCTTGTACATAAACCATGTACCTTTGAAATATACGATTACAATAACGGAAGTTGATATTCGTATTCTAGACTGAGCGAGAAGGCGAATGAAAGAATCGACTATATTGACGAACATTAAAGATTCGGAGTTGATTCAAGACTACTAGTAATGGTTGGCATGTCATTCATTAGCTCGATATTCTAATCGTTGATTAGACAAGGCCATAGGATATAACATCAATAATATAAACAATTTACCTTATACATTTTGTACTACCCCATTCATTATCATTATTTACATATTCATGAATTGATGAAGAGTCACTTGATGATGAATAATCTGAATGAGATTTCATTAAAGTTTCATTTGGATTAACATTTTCATTTGACTGATCATTAATATCAGAAATTTTGATAGACTAAAACATAAATAACATGGTGTATTTATTCAATATTCAATATACCAGTCAGTCAGTAAGTTAGTTACAACATAGGACCTAGGCACATATATGCATCGGTACAAGTTTTTATACCTCATTACCACAACAAGATCAACAACGGATTCACAAAAGTAGTTAATTCAATAGTAGTAGTATATAAAAAAAAAGATTTTGTATAAGGATATAGTACAGATAGAGAAAATTAGTTAATAGAAAGAATGATGTAAAGCATGGTGATCTAACTTTAATCGACTCATGAATTCAATTATTAAATCATTAAAATCTCAACAAAACCCGCCCTCTTTTTGATTATAATCATCATGTACTCACTAGTGACTAATTTCAAAAATTATTTCCTGGGGTTCTAGTGAGAAGTAGTGACCAGAGGAGTTTAACCAGGTCTGTTGTGAAGTAGTAACTCACTGAAGACAATGTTGGACCGTGGTGCAATATCGTGGATTGGTTGAAATTAGAGAATAACAATGTTGGATACCGGATCAATGGTCTGGTCGTTAAGCACTCTTGCGGTAGACCGAAATTTCTTAGTTCGAACCATTTCGGTGTGTGATCGTGAATGAGCCTTTCTGAAGAGTTTCATACTAACACGAAACGGCTATCCAGTGCTTCCAGGTCTTCCATGGTGGTCTAGCTTTAGTTGTTTTAAATTTTCATTAACTGACTAATTAATTGACTTATCCTCCTTAAAATAGCTCACACTTTTTCGTAATGCTAATTATTAACGTAGTCAATATGGAAACTTGAAGAAACAGGAAGTGACTACAATCATATTTATGCATCCAATATATCTATCCAGTTGATGTTTATAAATATTCGATAGATTATTCGCACTACTTATATTATTATTCAATAGTATACTTCAGCAGAGATAAAACTTCTTAAAGATCAGTAGTTTTGTCACTTACATGATCTAGTTTTGCACATATTTTATCGTTTGTCATATTTTGCTTCCTTTTCTCTGTCAATTCTAAATAGAGAAAGAAAATGTAATGAAGAGAGAATCTTCGACCCACCTTCAATTGAACAATCATCTGAAATATCTTGTATATTCGAATCAATTAATTCACCATATAAATAAATGTAACCATTTAATTGTTTTTGTAAATATTCACAGTTGGAACATTCATGACCAGCGGGATGATGATGATGATGATGAAGACGATCATCTTCCAAATTGTTCGGCTCCTAATCATGACAATAAGAATAACAATATAAATGGGATAAATCCATTAAACTTTCTGTTAGAACCTGTAAGAATATTATTAAAATATAAGAATCTCAGATATCGGTTTTTCACATAGCTTTCATCACATATTTATTTCAGTCACATAATCTTTGACAAACAAGAAGCAACGGATAGGCACTTCGTTCTAGTATGCGAATCTTCAGCATGACACACCAATGGATCTTGAGTTCGACTCCTAACATAATTTGTATCCCAGAGGAATAACAGAAGTTATTTTTTGAAAACCATGCTAGAATTTTAAAAATACATTTGTCATCCATTCAAGAAAATAAGTGGAACCACAATACAAATATTTGGTCCTGCTGAATGTGTTCATCACGTGACTTTTATGACAGTTTAGCATTGTTTAACCTTCAATTCGATGAATTATATATCCAATAGTTATTATTCCCAACTTTAATCAATTCATTACACTAAATATAATTTCAATGGTTAAGATCATGGGTCAGTTGAAGCTAGACTACCATGGAAACCTTGTAAGCACTGGACGGTCAGTGGTTTAGTGGTTAAGTGATCGCACGTGAAACCAGTAGGTCCTGGGTTTGAATCTCGCAGGAGGCGAGGTCGTAGATGCGCACTGCTGAGGAGTCCCACAATAGGACAAAACAACCATCCAGTGCTTCCAGGTTTCCCATGGTGGTCTAGTTTCAACTGACTCATGTTCTTAACCACTGAAATTACTATAATATCCACAAAACCCATCTGATACTAATTATAGTTGTTTACTCACTATAAGCATGTGGTGTGTACTACTGATGTCAATAGATATAGGTAGTATGCAGTATCAATCAAAAGTGAAATGCCTAGAGACAGACATTTAAGAAGATCGAAGAGAAGAGAACGAGAACAGAGAGTGATGTGTGTGGAAATGAGGGAACAATCGATTGATATTTTGCAAATGAATTATTTGATGTATGGTTCTCAGATATTACTATAAGATTCTTTAAATTTGTATTGAAATACATTTGGTTGTCCTTAACTGTGTTCTCACTCATTACAAGAGTACTTCATATCAAGTTCCCAATGTTCTTATTAAGAACTCATAATTGATGGAATTTAATCATATTGAGAATGTGACATACATCATCAAATATTGGTAGATTGTCTTTCTAAATTTGTGAGAGAGAAAAAAGTAGATCCTAGCGGAAGGACAAACGAAGAAGAAGCGTTGGAAGTGGATAGGACACACATTGAGGAAAACACTCAACTGCGTCACAAGGCAAGCTCTCATTATTTGAAATCCTCATGGGCAAAAGAGAAGAGGAAAACCACAGAACACATTACGCCGGGAAATGGAGACAGATATGAGAACAATGAACAATAGTTGGACAAGATTAAAAAGGAAGGCTCAGGACAGAGTGGGTTGGAGAATGCTGGTCGGCAACTGATGCTCCGTTATAAGTTATAGATGTAAGTAAGTCAGCAAGTCTTTCTGAATCACAAATTTGAATAAGGTAATCGGTATAGTCGTAGGTGCTCGTTGCTAAAGAGTTCCATACTTTGTAAATATTCAAAAGGATATCCATTCAAGGTGTCAATCTCTTTGAACTGACAAAATAATACCCAGTAGTCATCATCAAATAAATTGATTATAAAGCAACATAAGAAATAACAATGTTTGTTAATGTTTCATTTATATTCTATACTTTCTAACTTACATTTGATTTTGTCTTGTACATAGTATATGTAGTCAATTGTTCACGTAGATCCTATGAATAATGAACAATAATACGAAATATATGGATTATCAGTTCATATCAGAAAAGGGGTTTTGTGGATATTATAGTCATTTTAATACTTGAGATCATGAGTTCTAGCGAGAATCAGTGACTAGTGGAGTTCAGTTAGATCAGTTGTGAGATAATAACCAACTGATGACAATAGTTGGTGTGTCACTCAATTTCGTGAATTGGTTAAAGTTAAACATTAACACCGTTGGATGCTGGCCAGCCCAGTAGTCTAGTGGTTAAGTGATCGCGCGAGAAACCAGTGGGTCCTGGGTTCGAATCTCGCAGGAAGTGAGGTTGTGGATGTGCACTGCTGAGGAGTCTCACAATGGGACGAAACGGCCGTCTAGTGCTTCGAAATTTTCCATGATGGTCTAACTTCAATTGACTCATGATCTTAACCATTGAAATTACTATGACATCCACAAAACCCACCTGATATTAATCAACATATGCTCGCTAGTGACTAGCTTCAAGAGATACATCCTAGAGTTCTAGTAAGAAGTAGTGACCAGTGGAGTTCAACCAGGTCTGTTGTGATATAGCAACTCACTGAAGACAATGGTGGATGTGTCACTCGATTCCGTGAATTGGTTAAAGTAAAACAATAACACCGATGGATTCCGGCTCCATGGTCAAGTGGTTAAACGCTAGTCCGCAAAACCGATAGGTCTCGCGAGTCGAGAACGTGGATGTACACTGTTAAGGAGTCCCATACTAGGACTATTGGACGAAACAGCTGTCCAATGCTTCTAGATTTTCAATGAGGATTCAGCATCAATCGATTTATGGTCTCAATCAAAATAAACAGTCTTGGTTGAAAGTATTTGTAAATTGTAATGTATAACAATATTAAGAAAAAGAAGAAGAAGAAGAAGAAACAAAACAGTGAATTCACTATTGAACTCATATACACAAAGGCTAATTCTTTAACAACCCTGTAACATTCATATCAAAAGCGTACTTTATAAAATTGATTGATTGATTGATAGATAGATACCCTTCAATAGAACAAAATATTTACAAATAATGTGATTAATTATACTACTACTATCACCACCACCATCACCACCACCATTATTATTATTACTGCCAAGAGTAATAATTTATTCACTTAAATCAATATTTCTACATATGATAAGTTGGTTATACGTCACGTGATGCAACTACCTGATAGGTCAATACATGTTGTTATGCCTGTGTGTGTGTGTGTTATCTTCATCTGTATGCCTACATGGTATATGTGTATGTAAGTGCTACCTATACTATACCAATCTTGATTAATTTCACTTCGATTACCTAATAAGTTTTTTTAGATTGATTTAATTCAACTGTTTTATATTTATGTTAAATTGAAGTGATCAATGTTAGATTACCATGGAAAACCTGAAAGCACTAGATAGCTGTTTTGTCCTAGTCTTCACATGGGACTCGAACTCAGAAATTTTGGTCTCATGAGAGAATGCTTAACATTGGCACTACTGAACCGACATTCAATGGTGTTAATGTCTAATTTTAACCAAATCATGAAATTGCGTGATGATCTTCCATTGCCTTTGATAGGTAACTGTCTTCAAACCTGACATGGATTAGCTTCACCGACCATGGTTTCTTAGCAGAACCTCTCGATGTTAGTCACTAGTGAACACATGATCATTTCAATATCAGGTTGTGGAGATTATTGAGTTTTAATTGAGATGACAAATCGATCTATGTTGAACTAGGTCTGTTGTGAGATAGTAAATCACTGAAGACAATGGTGGATGTGTCGCTGAATTTCGTGGATTATTTGAAGTTAAACATTAACACCGTTGGATGCCAGCCAGCTCAGTGGTTTAGTGGTTAAGTGATCGCGCGCGAAACCAGTAGGTCCTGGGTTTGAATCTCGCAGGGGGCGAGATTGTGGGTGCGCACTGCTGAGGAGTCCCGCAATAGGATGAAACGACCGTCCAGTGCTTCCAGGTTTTCCATGGTGATCTAGCTTCAACTGACTCATGATCTTAACGATTGAAATTACTGTAATATCCATAAAACCTATCTGATATCAAAATAAAATAGCCAATCTAATATAATAATCACATGATTCAAGTATCAAATTATAACAATATTACGATTATCCATTTATAGACTAAACATGTACCTATTTTGTACGTTTGGATGATATATCTGTTTGTGCCAAATGATTATATTCTCTCGATGATAGAATTTTCTAAGTAGTTTTTATTAATATGAAAAGGGTTTTTTTTTGTAGATATTATAGTAATTTCAATAGTTGAAATCAAGAGTCATTTAAAGCTAGAACACCATGGAAAACCTGAAAGCACTAGATGGCCGTTTTGTAGTACTGTGGGAATCCTCAACAGTGTGCATTCACTATCCGACCTCGCGAGATCCGAACCCAGGATATATCGGTCTCGTGAGTGAACGCTTAACGGTGAGACCACTGAAATGGCAACCCACGAAATTGAATGACAAATCCACCACAACAGACCTGGGTTCATGAGGTATTTCCTGGAGTTCCAGTGAGAGGCAGTGACCAGTGGAGCTCAACCAGGTCTGTTTTGAGGCAGTGACTCATTGAAGACAATAGCGCATCTTCGTGATTTGGTTGAAATTAGACATTAACACCGTTGGACACTGACCGGCTCAGCAGTCTCACCATTAAGGGTTTACACGCGTGACCGATAGGTCCTTGGTTCGAACCACGCGAGGCGGGATCCTGGATGCGCACTGCCGAAGTGTTCCGTACTAGGACGAAGCGGCCGTTCACTGCTTCCAGGTTTTCCATGGTGGTCTGGTATTTTTCTTTAAAAAATCGGTTTAGATACAGTTGGAGAAAATAAATATTAAGCTCTACAATTACTATTCACTCTAGCTGTTAACAAAATTTAACTCTCATCCAAAGAAAATTGATTTTGTTTTAGAGGAATTGACTGTGCGTCACCTAGTCTACATATCTTAATGCTACATTATTGCGGGCCATACTATAATTTATGGACAAACCAATCAGATTTAAGGTAACAGGTCTTGGATTTTGGCGCAAAATTCATCCACCCATTTGGACGAATATCAGTCAATTATTTCAGACTTTATTGTTCCTTCATTTCCACACCAATCATTCTTTGTTCTCATTCTCTTTTCTTCGATCTATTTGACCTTCTGCTGCCAGATATTTCACTTTTGATTGATTACATATACTACTTATATCTGTTGATATCAGTAGCACAAACTACAATATCATATGCTTATTGTCATAACCATTTTTCTCATTAGAATCTATTGCATTAAGGTAGCAACAATGACTTTTCATTCTGTAAATATTGTAAACTCATACTTAATGTTACAATTTGTGCCCTGTGTCCTATTCAATGTATAACGTAATGGTACTGTCAATTAGCGAACAGTGAATTATCAATCGGAGCAATGACTCATAAAAAACGGTACGATCTGTTATACCCGGTGAAGATTAAATTACAGGTAACTTCCAAGGACTATTCATGGACTAATATTCTATAAATATTCTTATTGTATAACTATTCAACAATTACACTATGGATATTTATATTCCTTTTATGATAAGCTTTATTTTGATCTATAATTTATGATTGTACGATTTACGGTTCTTAAGTTATGTTCAGTTTATTAACTACTGCCTCCCACATTCACAGCCACTTTTTGGGCTTATTTGTGTACAAATATTATTTCCTATTTTATGGTACGTTGTGGTCTGTCTGATTGATATATAAACCAAGTATGCCTGAAATAAACGATTCGATTCATAGTACGGAAGCTGGTATTGTGTTCTGGACTCAAGTGGAAGGGCTCGGAGGAAATAGGACCAATAAGGACGCTAAACTGCCCACACCGGTTGAACGTCATTGGTTGGCCTAGTGTGAAGATTCGTATAAGTCGTATTTGGATTGGTAGATAAATCGTGTGATAGAAAAGTCAGACATCCAAGGTCATAACACGATCAATCCATAGTCTTTATCGGTCCTGCTTTGCAATAAGCCCTGCCTGTTGAATCCAGTACATCAATCTCAGCAGCCATGATATCAAGATTCGATGAGCTATACACTACACATTTCAATTGGCATTTCAACTTACTTGAATTAATTTATCTAAAATTTGATTATCTTCTAGTAATTTCTTTTCATTTTCTATTTTTCTTAAAATGATTTGTTCTAAATGTTGATTTGTTTGGATTAGATTTTCTTTTTCTATATGAAACATTTCATGATCTGATTTCATAGACTATAGAGTAATGAAAGAAGAATCATTGATAAACAATTGTATGATCAGAAGTGAATATCTTTCAATTCATATTGTCTATATATATATGAACACCGATTATCATGTGTGCACAATACTGATGACTAGTGTTTGAGATGATTGAAAGAAAGTTAGGGGTGGCAAAACCAAAACGTAGTATCAGTCATTGAAGTCACTAACGTCTAGTATGAGCCATGTGGATGGTAGATGTAGACTAGTTGGTTGTGGTCTGCGTGATTATCGTAAGCAATGGTTGGAGACTCTTGGTGACATGGCTCAGAATCGATCACAATAGCGTCGGTGTGTAGTGACTCACGTTTATTACGAGAACAGGACTGGTTTAATAAAAACATTTATTATTATAACTAACTGTACCAGTGTTTGTTTTAACGTGCTTTTGTTTGACTGTGCTAATGACAGCTATTTTGTGCTTCCATTCTTTTACTTACACTTCGATTGTAACTTCGCGCGAATTCGGTTACCTTCAGTAGCCAAGGTTGTATCCTCGCACGATCTCGGTATCCTTTCGATGCCACGAGATCGCCAGCTAATGAACCTCGACTTGGTCCATTAATCGCCTTCTGATATTTGGCTTCTCGGGGATTTTATGGATCTATTTGGTTACGTCCAACCCTCGCCTTCTGATTTATTTGGCACGTGTTTCTTGGTAGCGGTGTTCACAGTTAACCTCAACTCGACGCCACGCTACAGGTGCATACACTCTTTATCTTCCCTTAAATCATGAAATTAAAATTGTCTTATATCTTTCTTTGTGTATTATATCCTTATATGCAATCTTCCTTTTATATATTACTACCATTAACTTAACTACTTCTATGAATCCGGTGTTGATCTTGCTGTGCTAATGAGGTATGGTAACTTGGACAGATGCATATATGTGCCTGGTCTTACGTTGTAGCTGACTGACTAACATATCAACATATGAAATTCATATGAATATAACAATGGAGGCATTGAACATATTGAGAAGTATAAGATGGAAAATAATAATATTAGATCTATTGGACATTTAAACATAAAAATCAAATGATATTGTTTTACTTGAATCTTCCCAATGATGTTTTAGGACTGAAATTGATCGGTCTCTTATTGGCATATGTGCATACTGTGCGTATGCCTCGATATTGCCTACAGGAATCAGTAACTAAGTGGATAACACAATGGCGTTTGAAGGTACATTCAGCTGACGAGTCCCAAACAGGACGAAATGCTCGTCCTGGATTCCACTGCTAGCCACTATCCTTCTTTACTTATAAAAATCACAGTTCAGAAGAACACAACTGAGAATAATGAACAAGAGTTTAGACTGACACTAAACTTAAAACTTTCAAGAAGAATGAATGCATATGGACTATTGTGACTGGTTTGCTCTATGCTGCCTAGCATCCTTAATCAAAGAATATGACTGGTAATCTCTACTTTCTTTGCTGATGTGTTGTGACATTGCTAACCGATACATAAATATACCAGATTCTATGTTGCTTATGACTGAGTGATTGACTGACAACGTCTATCTACAGCTTCTGTGACCAGCATACAATAAATGGAATTTAGCTAGCAATAGAATCCAGAAAGCGCGTTTCTTTCTTTTTAAAACTCGTCAGCTGAGTGTACTTGCACCACTCCTTAACTCTAACCTAGTACTATTCACTATAAGTGTTTTTGCATTATCCACTTAGCCACAGAGTTCAGGTAGCCACCCACCTTGTGCAACCGGTGTGAGATTTATATTCAATTTCGAATGAATTGAATAATCCTGTTATTTATATATTTGACCGAAATTTGATCATTCTTAGTTGACTAATGTTAATGTAGGCACATTCAGCTGACGAGTCCCAAATAAACCGAAACAGCCTACTTGTATTCTATTGCTAGTCACTATCCAACTGTGCTAATAAATGTACAAAAATTAGCTTATCTATAATTGACAACAATCTGATCTGTCAAAATCATTGTTGTTGTTATTATGATTAACAGTAAACATATAATCAAATCATCTAGCCTTATGTGATTAAAATACCTACTGTGATATGATCAACTCAGACACCTATAGAAGTATCCATACATACATACACACACACACACACACAAAACCTTCACTATTAAGATACTATAACTAAATTAATCCGTTATTGTTTTATGTTCTATTATATTCAACATATTCATACCCATGTGAATGTGAGTATACACTATTAAACTCATTCATCTACATTAAGATTAAAAGAAGAAGAAGAAGAAGAAACAACAAAAAGTGGTCAGAAAGAAAAATTGTTTCGATATTGATCATTGAATGAAGTGGTAAAGTAGTTTGTTTCATTTTAGAATTTTTAAAAAAAGACTGATTTCTTGTGTCGAATAGTTGGATCGTTTTTGTTTTCAACCATGTGTTAACTAGTGATTAATGAGAAGCTGTGATCAGCAAAGTTGTATTATGTCAGGTTTGACGTAGTTACCCACTTACTTACTTACTTACGCCGGTTACTCCTCGTGAAGAAGCATAGGCCACTCACCAGCATTCTTCATCCAACCCTGTCCTGGGCAATCCTTTCCAGTTCTTTCCAATTATTATTCATCCTTTTCATATCTGCTTCTATTTCCCGACGTATTGTGTTCTTTCACCTTCCTCATTTCCTCTTGCTTTCAGGATTACAAGTTAGTGCTTGCCTCGTAATGCGGTTTGATGATTTCCATAGCGTATGTCCTATCCACTTCAAAAGTATTTTCTTAATTTCCTCCTTCTTAATGATTGTTTTAGTAGTTCTGGAAGTTTCAGCTCCGTACAAGAGAACAAGCTATCTTGATGTTAGTATTAAAGATTGTGACTATGATATTAGCTGACAGACAGTTGTTTTGAGTTCCATATGTTCTTCAATTGTAGGAGTGCTTTGCCAATCTTCGCCTTTACGTCCGCATCCGATCCTTCTTGTTCATCAATGATGCTCCCCAGATACGTGAAACGTTCCACCTGTTCCAGAGTTCCTCCATCAAATGTGACTGATTGGGTTGGTGATCACCATGTTGGATTTAAGGATCTTACTTTTTCCATTGTGTATACTTGGGCCTACTTGATGAACAATATCCCGAACTCAAATTAGACATCTCAAACACTGGACGTTGATTCAGAGACCTGAAGGTGAAGAACTCACTGAGAGACCTATAGTCGAGGGCTTGATCTTGGTAGAGGGTTCGTAGATGCACATTGTTTAGAATCCTATACTTGGACAAAACAACTGTCCAGTAATTCCTTAGTTTTCAAAAGTCATTCCTCGATGTTACATTCTAGTCTGGGATTGTGCACAGAGTGAGTCTAAAGATCATGACTTTTCATAAAAACTACTATATATTTAAACAAATGATTTCGATATCATTCGACTCATAGTATAGTGGGACCCTCAAATCAATATCATTTTGATTATTGTAAAGTGATTCAATCAACAAGAAACTAAATGATTACATTTTTTGATAGCTGGTAAAAAGTACACAACACCTTGGATCTTACGGAAATCAACGTTACTTGAATAGTTCAAACTCGTGTTAACCAGGGTTATAGTGTAAGTTGTTATAACTGGTCTGTTTGAATTACACTTTGAGTGACGTAATTAATATAGTTCATTGAGTGAAATGAATCAAACAACGTAATACTGACATACTCTAAGCTCCTAGATTTTACGGGCATTATAAGTCTTTCATTTGAATGGATGAGTCGTGAAACTTTCACTGGCTCACTAGACAACACCATCAATACATACATCAGAAAGTAATAAGCTATAAACATTTTCTACGATCTGATCAACAGTTTAGTCTGTTGACTTGAAATCTGATTAGTTGTTGTCCATAACTGTTTCATTGTTATTGGCATCCTTATTTAGACTGTTTACCTGCTGACCTGAGCTCTGACTTTGTAATTGTTTGTCATTCTCCTTACAAGATGATAAACTGTGTCAGATCAAAGGAGAAGATAAAAGTGTAAATGACAATTTATTTATTTATCTATTTAACATATAGATATTGGTACAAGGAGGCACCAAATACATATGCGCCACACAAATCTCACTCGATATGTGTGATGGCTGTGATACTGTCCGGGTGCTCAAACCGAAACAGGTGGTTTTCTTAGGGGGCCACTCCCCGAGCCTTCGACCTGAAGGTCTGATCCACAAGGCAGTGGAGCATCGTAAGGAGATACAGTTCCATGGTAGCCGGTGACCAACGATTGGCTTATACGCCATTTGTTCCCGCAGGATACTGGAGTCCATGTGCACCATTGGTTTGGAATCTGGTTAAAGCACGGGACATTCGCTTTCGTCCTCTCATTTTCGTAAACAACACCCCCGCTACGAGAAGGCAATGAGTAGGACTTCCCTGGCAGAAGCTATATACGCGTGGCAATGTGAGAGTATTTCGAGAGGGAGAGCTGACTCTCCCCACTCTCGGCCGTACCAGGGCATCACACTCTGAGTCATCAGAACAGGCTATTAGTCATTTGCAGTACTCATTCAAACCTCTACTTTAGACCATGTCCAGGATCTTTAGGTCTCACTACTAAGGCTTAATCTCGGAGTCACTAGGATGCCATCCAGTTGTGTAAGTGTGTAATTTTAATTAAGTAGCAATGCTTCGCTACTCCATATGACTGAGCTTCATTGGTCACATCTTTTCACAAGAACTCCTGAAAATGCACCTACATGTTAGTTACTAGCAGAGATATAATTATTATTTATGTAAGTAGTTTGTAGAAATTGTTGGATTATCGTTATGATCTAAAGATTAATCATGTACTCTTGAGGCTGAAGGCTTTGTGTTCGATCTCCGGTGTGACCATGGATGTTCACTGTTAAGGAGTTCCATAATAAGATAAAAACATCTGTGGAAAACCTGGAAGCACTGGATGGCCGTTTTGTCCCATTATACGACTCCTCAACAGCGTACATCGGTGATTCCGCCTCGCGGGATTGGGATTTAGGTTTTCCACTGCGGTCTAGCTTTAATTAGTTCATGAATTCAATTATTAAACTACTATTATATCCACAAAAACCCCTTTCTGATTATTACACAATCATCAAATGTTTGTTAACTCTATGATTTCTTATCACTAGTTCGATGTTCTGGAAATTCCCCCCACAAACGTTGTTTATTTATTTAAAACAAACAATTTTTATGACCTTATTAACTCTATCGGAATCTTCACTACAACATGATACACATATTGGGGTGGTGATAAACTCCACTCTTGTTTGCATTTCCAACCTTGTAGCTGGCAACCAACCAAAATGAGGTGGGAACTATCATGTACACTATCGTCATCTGTGATAGAAAGCTGATTACTCTGTCTGTTATCTTTTTTTGCTGGCTTACATGATCAATGTAAAGTTGTCTACGATAAAACATCACTCTGTGATGTAACGGACTTGTCAAGTGTGGTTCAATCAGTCATAATGAAAGAATCAGTACAATATAGCATAATTCATACCTTCAATTAATTCTATAATAGAAAGTATCCCGAAAAATAACCGTATTTACTACGTTTGATACAGTTAGATGAATTAACAGTGTAGAATTAATCCTTAGTCAATTTCTATGATAAATATTAGTATAGGATTGGGGAAATTATTAAATTTTGATTGAGATCATCAATCGATCAATCTGAAAGCACTGAATGACCATTTCGTCATGAGGAGTCTTTTACTAGAATGAAACAGGCGTTCACTGCTCCCAGATTTTTAATGGTAGTCCAACATTGATCGATTCATTCCCCTAACTACCCTGATATGGTCGAGAGTAGAGAGAATCCACTCAATCTCTCTCGAAATAATCTCACATAGCTACAAGTATACAGCCACTGCCAGGGAAATCCTACTTACTGCCTTCTCATGAAGGAGATGTTGTTCACGAAATTGTGAGGACGAAAAGCGAATGTCCAAGTTAGTGAACATAGAAAGTACACCTAGGGGAGTTGGAAAACTTTAATTCCAAACCAATAATGTAAATGGGCTCCTGGATCTCTTGACATCACATCATTGCCTTGCGGATTAACGTAATAAAATAAATTCATTATTATTTCATCAACTTACTTGTATCAAGTTATTTAAGATCACATTGTCTGATTTCAATTGTTCATTTAAATCTTCTTTCTTATTTAATTCCATTTTCATTTCTTTCATTATCATATTCAATTTCTTTAATTCATTTAACATGAGATTTCAAAAGAGAAAAACAAACAAACAAACAAACAAACAGCTTTAATACATAGATACAATTATGAATAAGAATGTAATGATCTTCAATAGGTAACAGCCTAGCAACTGATGCAGATTAAACTTCATTGGTCAAATCTTCTTATTAGTACTTGGAGAATGTTCATTTTGTTTCTATACATTAGTGATAATGGCATTTGAAGCGAACAGTACTGAGTTCGAGCCCCATAGTGAACATCCACATCCAATTATCTCTTGTAATTAGTTACTAATAACCATCTGATGAATGAAATTCAATATGTTTAATACATGATTAAAAAAGGTTTATTTTACTTAAACTTGTATTGATCATGTTATGGGTAGTGTCACGTTCTTACAAATAAAAGTTAAGTTATGATTATTAATGATTGAGATCATCAATCGATCAAAGTTAGACTACTATTGAAAATCTGAAAGCACTAGATGACTATTTGGTCATGAGGAGTCCTATACACTAGAGCAAAACGGCTGTTCAGTACTTCCAGGTTTTCAGTGGTGGTCTGTCATTGATCGATTCATGCCCCCAAATGTTGACATTTTTAATAAATATAAATCATATGCTTACTGGTAAATATCTTTAAGATGTGTCATTGGGAGTTTTAATCAAATGCCATGACCATTAAATTTCGATTATGTCAAGTGTGAAATAGTTACTCATCGCTTGTAAGTAATAAATGAAAGTTGTGTAATATTGTAAACTTATATGCCATTGGATACTAGCTCAGTGATGTACAGGGTAAGTGTTCTTTTTTCCATACATTATTGATAATGGCTTTTGAAGCGAACGGTACTGAGTTCGAGCCCTAAAGTGAACATCCACAAGTCTGGAATGCAAGTACATCCAGCTGAAGAATCCTAAATAGGATGAAACGCGCATTCTGGATTCTACTGTTAGCCAATATCTATCCATTATATCTTTCAATTCGATCTGTTTTGAAATTGAAGATGCCTTTTGTTAGGTGGTTATAATCTAATATAAAAGAAATTTTTAATGTTCACTATTTTTCTGTGAGATTATGGACCGATTGATGTTAAAGGACCATTGAAAACCTGGAGGCATTGGATAGCCGTTTCGTCTCATTGTGGGACTTGGGAAAGGAATCGTCGATGCGCACCACTGATGAGTCCCACAATAGGAATTGATAGTGTATATTTCAATCTTAACAATTTTATAATATAAAATATGTTTAATTGTTTTCTATAGTTTACTACTAACGAGTTAATAGAAATGGTGGTGAAACTATAATTTATGAATGACCTTTGGACAACACTAAAATGACCTTATGAGTGTTCACCTACTTAACTAGGACTAAATAAGGGTTATAACTCAGTGTGAAGAACAAAGATTATGATTTACAGTTAATGGGTTAAATGTTAAGAATTAGATTTAAGGTTTTCATCACAAATTAACATTAGCTGTAATACCAAAATGTTCTTTAACCAAATGGATGAATAAATTTGGTACCAAAATCGATTTCATTCATACTAGTGGTTGCTTTCCAATGTTCTCAAGGATCATTTTCATTGGGACATTTTAAGCCATGTCGCCATTGTTAACATTGATGAGTTTGACTGTCGTGTAATCGGAATAGGTCAACTTTGGCCTGTTCATACTCTGTATATAACTGTACATATGACATGAATATGTATCTGAATGATGCGAATGGTTCACCAGGGTGCTTGATACCTGTGGAATTGCGCCACAGGATTGAGGTCTACTATTTAGATTTTAGCATTAAAGCCTATGCGGTATCTGGTTCTCCTGTGAAGCGGGATTGAGCTGTACTATTTGGGTTGTCACCTGAGAGTCTGGATGGTGTTTGGTTCTTTTGGAATCCAATGTAAACTTACCCTGAACCACATGGGTATATTATATATAACTATGTTACCTTATACCTGATTGGTTCGTCCATAGCATTTGTTTTCTTATTAAACAACTAAATGTCTATTCTAGATAACGTCTGTAACATAGTAGTCAAGTATATGATTATGTAATTGATTTTAGTGTTGCTAATTAAAACTAAGTAATAATGATGATTGAATTCATAAATTAACAACCATTTCCGGTTTATAAAACGGATCAAAAATTAAGCTTAATAGAATTATAAATTCACTTGATATTGTTTATTTGAAACTTCTCATTGATGTTTACGACTGTAATTAATCAGTTTCTCACTGGTACATGTGGATACTGTGTGTATTGCCTTGATATTGTCTTAATTTTACATGCATTCTAATCAAAGATGGATAGTGGCTAGCAACGGAATCCAGGATACGTGTTTCATCAGGACTCAGTAGCTAAGTGGATAACGTAATAGTGTTGAAAGCAAACGGTACTGCGTTCAAGTCCTAGAATGAACATCAATTCTGCGATGCAGCTACATTCAGCTGAGGAGTCCCAAATAGGACAAAACATTTATCCTGGATTCCACTGCTAGCAGCTATCCATCTTTGTTTAATAGAACTATATAAACTGAAGGATTTGGGTGTAGTCCATCTTTGAACTTATTAAAATAAAATTTAGTCGCTTGTAAACATTCCATGACAAATGTTTCTTTAAAGTCATCAGTGCATCACTCTAGTCTCGTGGTTTGAAAGTGAATCACAGTTTTAAAGTTTTTTCCGTGACAATTTTAGCAACAAATGGTTGCGACTTCATGAAGATCCAATGAGATTGTGGATTAAACCTGTTGAAGAGTTCTATTTATTATCAAATGAATATAGATAGATCTTGATTCATTTATCAGATCAAAAGGGGTTTTTTAGATATTATTAGTAATTTCAATAGTTGAAATCATGAATCAATTGAAGTTAGACTACCATGGAAAACCTGGAAGCATTGGATGGCCGTTTCGTTCTATTGTGCGATTCCTCAGCAGTGTTCATCCATGATCCCACCTCACGAGATTCGAACCCAGGATCTGTCATTTATCATAAATTACTTCACTATACAACTAAATGATTAATATAAGTGATGCATATTAAATTTTCATTATTATTAATTTATTAGTACACATGATATAAACCAAAACCAGCATTTAATCGCAACAACAACAACAACAGAAAAATTCTCTTTCGGCAATGCACATCTCATTTTAGGACTAAATTAATCAATCAATAACCGAAAACAAAACAAACAAACATACTATGATTATAGTTAGTTAATTAGTGTTCAACATACACGGTACTACTATTAATACTACTACAAGTTAGATAACCACCGAAAACCGGAGGGGGGCAATGTGAAGGTGTACTACTACTACTACTACTACTACAATTGCAAGTTAGACAACTACCGAAAACCGGAAGGGGGACTGTACAGGTGTACTAATACTACTAATACTACTACTACATGGTGTCTATCAATAAAGAAGTCTCATGAAAAAACATATTTTGAAGAATTTTTTTTCAATCTCTTAAATAATGTTTTCCCACTGCTTTACTACTATTCTGCTATCAATGAGACCTTGATTCATTGAAATTTGTCACTAATGTACATTCAGTTAAACAAATCAAATTAAAAAAGATTAAGACGAAGAAGAAGAAGAAAAAAGTACTTTGCAATATCATCACATACACATGCACACACACACACACACATACACACATGCAAGCACGCATATACATACATACATATTTCTTTTGATTATTGTTCTGGAAACAAACCGGAAAACATAAATTCCAAAGGAATGCATGTAATGTTATGATATGTAGTGGTGTATGTTTTATATTTCACATATATATATACGTACATACGTATATATACTACTAATAATGTCATAATGACATAATTCCATGTCATAATGTAATAATAAAGTGGTTAAAACTGAATTCTAACTTTATAACGATACATTTTTCTCACTACTCATTTTATAAATAGTTTATTGTTACTATCAGTAATCTTAATCGTAATAGTAGTAGGAGTAGTAATAGTAGTAGGAGTAGTACTTGTAGTGTAAGTAGTATGAGTATTATGAGTAGTATAATAAGTAGTAAATAGTAATCATGTTCAAATTAACTCTTTACACTATACAATGTATGTATAGTTAAATAGTAAAAGTGTCATTCAACGAAAACAAAATTTAAAAAAAAAGAAAAAAATTCCAAGAACTATTTGTTTCTATAATAATTTTCTTTTTAAAAGAAAAAAAAGAAAAAGAAAAGCAAAACCGTAGATAATCATGTAAACGTTTTTTTTGTATTTTGTGCGTAGTCAAGTCTATTTGAAGGTGTACTACTACTACTAATACTACTACTACTACTACTATTACAAGTTAGACAACCACCGAAAACCGGAAGGGGGACTATGCAGGTGTAGAATAATGTTTTTTATATCTTTACCTTCATTCTATTCAAGATGAAATGATAAATAGTTTGTTCGTTTTTTTTATTAGAATAGATTAGAAACAGATTATGAAAATGAACAAAGATGGATGGTGGATAGCAGTGAAATCCAGGATGCGTGTTTCGTCCTAATATTGGGACTCTTCAGATGAATATACTTGTATCTCCGAGTTGATGTTCACTGTAATATACGAATTCAGTACTGTTTGATTTAAATGCCATCATATTATCCATTTAGTTACTGAGTCCTGATAGTCACCAATATGGATAATCTTTCATAATGTTTGTTCATAATATAATATTTTAGACAATATAGGACTCGTTAGCTGGAGGTACTTCCACTGTTTACTATCATCTATCTTTTCTTATAATGTTTGTGACTTAAAGCAATATCAAGGCAATCTATAAAGGATGCATACATATCAATAAGAGGCTGATGAATTATAGTCCTAAATATCAAGGAGAAAATTCAAACATTCAACACCAAAAAAAATGAATTCATCAAACAAAGCATTATTATTTATGAATTCTACTTTGGTTAAACTCTTGTAAATCTACGATCATAAGTAAACTAGAAGTAAATCTTAAACTGATTAGTA